TTCAATCAGAAATAAGAAAGTAGGCATTACAGCTGATACCACAAAAAAATCATCAGAGACTACTATGAACATCTGTGTACTCACAACCGAGAATTTAGAGGAAATGTATACATTCCTGGAAACATTCAACTTCTTGAGATTCAACCAGGAAGAAATAGAAATACCAAAAAGATCAATAACAAGTATTGGAATTGAATCAGTAATTAAAAAAAAAAAAATCCTCCCAACAAAAAAAGCTCGGTACCAGACAGATTGACAGCTGAATTCTACCAGAGGCACAGGGAAGAACTGGTACAAATCCTACTGAAACTGTTCCCAAAAATCAGAGGCAGCAGTGCTCCCTAACTCATTCTTTGAAGCCAATATTATCCTGAAAACCAAAGCCAAACAAGGACACAAGAAAAAAAGAAAACTATAGACCAATATCTATGATAAACATAGATTCAAAAATCTCAACAAAATACTAGCAAACTGAATATAACAGCACTTCAGAAAAATAATACATCACGATCAAGTGGGTTTTATTCCAGGGTTGCAAGGATGGTTCAGTGTATGCAAATCAATAAATGCGATTCACCATTTAAACAATTAAAAACAAAAAATGTATGACCATCTCAGGAGATACAGAAAAAGCATTTGATAAAATTCAACATCCCTTAATGAAAAAAACACTCAAAAAATTACTAGAAGTGACATACCCTAGAATAATAAAAGGCATATAAGACACAACCACAGATACTGAACAGGGAAAAGTTGAAAGCATTTCCCCTAAGAAGTGGAACAAGACAACGATGCCCACTTTTTCATCTCTCCTATTCAACATAGTACTGGAAGTTCTAGCTAGAGCAGTCAGACAAGAGAAAGAAAAGGCATCCAGATCAGAAAAGAGAAATTCAACATGTCTGTGTGTGCTGATGATATGATCTTATACCTAGAAAACTCTGAAGATTCCTCCAAAAGTCTCTTAGATATGATACATGAATTCAGTAGTTTCAGGATACAGAGTCACTGTACAAGAATCAATAACATTTCTACACATCAATAATGATCAAACTGAGAATCAAATCAAGAACTCAATCTCATTTATAATTGCTAAAAAAAAACCCCACTAGAAATACATTTAACTAAGGAGGTGAAAAATCTCTACAAGGAAAACTATAAAACACTGATGAAAGAAATTGTAGATGGCACAAACAAATGGGAAAACATCCCATGCTCGTGGATTGGAAAAATCAATGTCATTAAAATGATTATGTTGCCGAAAATAATCCACAGATTCAATGCAATTCCTGTCAAAATGCCAACATCATTTTTTACGGAATTAGAAAAAAGTCCTAAACTTCAAGTGGTTCTCCCAAAAAAGTCTTAATAGCCAAACCAATCTTAAGGAAAATGAACAAAGCTAGAGGCATCACATTACCTGACTTCAGATTATACCGGAGGGCTATAGTAATCAAAACAGCTAGAACTGATAAAAAATAGACACACAGATCAATGGAACAGAATAGGAAATCCAGAGTCAAAGCTACATACTTAAAACCAACTGATCTTTGACACAGTTGACAAAAACATACACTGGGGAAAGGACATCCTGTTTAGTAAATGGTTCTGGGAAAACTGGACAGCCATGTGCAGAAGAATGAACCTGGACCCCTGTCTCTCACCACATTTTAAAATTAACTCAGGTTGGATTAACGACTTGAATATAAGGCCTGCCTGAAACTATAAAATTCCCAGAAGAAAACCCAGTAAATACTCTCTCGGATCTTCGCCTAGGCAAAGAATTCATGACTAAGACTTCAAAAGCAAATGCAACAAAAATAAAAATAGACAAGTGGACTTTACTAAACTTAAAAACTTCTGCACAGCAAAACATATAGTCAGCAAAGTGAACAGACAACATACAAAATGGCCACAAGTGTTTTTAAACTATACATCCAACAAAGGATTGATATCCAGAATCTACAAAGAACGCAGACAGCTCAACAAGAAAAATCACAATCCCATTAAAACGTGAGCAAAGGACATGAACAAACATTTCTCTAAAGAAGACACAAATGGCCAAGAATCTCCTAAACATGCTACACATCACTAATCATCAGAGAAATACAAATCATTATAAAACCACAGTGAGATACCATCTTATACCAGTCAAAAATGGCAATTATTAAAAAGTCAAAAAACAACAGATGTTGGCAAAGTTGCAGACAAAAAGAGAACACTTATACACTGTTGGTGGGAATGTAAATTAGAATGACCTTTATGGAAAATAGTATGGAAATTAAAGAACTAAAAGTAGAACTACCATGTGACCCAGCAGTCTCACTACTGGGTGTCTACACAAAGTAAAAGAAATCTCTGTATCAAAAAGATACCTGCACTTATTTGTTTATTGTGGCACTATTCACAGTAGCAAAGATATGGAATAAACGTAACTGCCCACCAACGGATGACTAAGTAAAGAACACACACACACACACACACATACACACACATTTATCATGGAATACCACTCAGCCATAAGACAGAATGTAATCCTGTGTTTTGGAGTAATATTGATGGAACTTGAGGCCATTATCTTGAGTGAAATGACTTAGTCAAACACCACATATTCTCACTTATAAGTGGGAACCATATAATACATACACATGGACACAGAGACTGGAATAATAAATATTGGAGCTTCAGAAAGGTGAGAGGGTGGGAGGGCAGTGAGGGATGAGAAATGAGAAATTCCCTAATGGGTACAATGTACAGTAATCCAGTGCTGGTTACACTAAAAGCACAGCCCTCACCACTGTGCATTATCCATGTAATACAACTGCACTTGTTCCTCCTGAGTCTGTATAAAACAAACAAAGAAAGAGGCACCCTCTTAAAGCACAGGGTCTTGCCAACTCTAACAATGGGGTTTCTTGATTTTTTTTTTTTTTTTTAAATAAAAAGACCATTAGTTCATAGGTATGAGAGACTGGTCATAAATTAGAACCGAGTAAGGATGGATTGAAATACCCAGAGGAGGAACTCATCTTCACAGTTTATGGAACAAATACGGAACAAATATTTACTGAGCTCCCGCTATGTTCAGGGCATCATTGTTAGCCTGCAGTGACAAACCCTTGACCTCAAGGAACCTCTATTCTAGTGGGAGGAAAATGACAAAACTCAACAGATGACAGTACCTAGTATCATACATCACAGCACTGTGAACAAAAGTGAGGCTGAATGCGGGAGACAGAGAGAGGTGGAGAGTGCTGTTTTAGGTAAAGGTGTCAGAAGAGGCCTTGCTAAGGGTGCTGTTTCATCAGAGACATGAATGAAGGGAGGGAAAGAGCCGTGTGTGTATTGGGGGAAGCACATCTCAGGCAGAGAGGACTTGTAGTTTCAGGAGGGCAGAGTTGCATCAAGAGGTGAGTGTGGCTGTGTAGAGTGAGGAGAGTGATAGGTGAGGGCGGTGTCATGAGGGAGTTTGAGTCTCCTTCCCAGTGTAATGGGAAGCTGCTTTGAACAGGGAGGGGTGTGGCCTGATTTAATTCTGAAGTGCTAATCCTGTGCTTGTGGAGACTTGGGCTGAGGTTGTAGGGCATTGAAGCTGGAACTGGGGGGCCAGTTGAGATACTATTGCAGGCAAGAGATTGCAGTGGCTTGGAAAGAGTGACAATGGTGGAGGTGATAAGGGAGTGGATCCGGGATTTAATCTGAAGGGACAACTAGCAGGATTTGCCGATGGTTGGATGTGAGAGAACTTGGTGGTGGGATGGGGTCCTCAAGGTTTTGGCCAAGCAGCTGGTTGAATGATGGTGCCATTTGTTGAGATGAGCAACAGTAGGTTTTGGGGGAGAAATCAAAGGCTCATTTTAAATACGTGAAATTTCGGATAGTTTTGTGTATCCAAGTGATGATGATAAACAACAGCAATAAATAACACTGATGCCAACCTGCCAGGAGCTGTACCCCAAGCTTCACATACCTTAGCTCACTCAGGCCTTACAGCAGCCCTGTGAAGGAATAACTGCCATTATTCCAGCATGGCACGTGGGGAAACTGAGGCATGGAGGTTAACTTCATTCATGGTTATGCAAAGTGTTCATGCCCGAGTTTGAACCCCAAGCATTCTGCTTCGAGTTTGTGCTTACAAACATAGCTTCTGCTATTGTTGGCTGTGGAAGCCTGCAGTTCTGTGGAAAGGTGAAGGCTAGAGACATGAAATTGGGAGTCATTGGCAGACATTTGTAACCATGCACGAGGTCACCAAGGGACTGGGCGTAGACAGGAAAGAGGGCTGCTCAGTAAGCTGTGGCAAACCTCTGCATTGAGAGTCAGTCAGAGGGAAGGTGAGAGGTGTTTTCAGGAGGCTGAAAAAGAGCAGGAAGTGGTACAGAAGAAAACCAGGAGCCTGTGGATGCAAGCCACAGGGAGAAGGGGTTTCAGGAGGTGGGGAATGATCAGGAGCATCCAGTGCCATGAGAGACCATGTAAGGGGAAGGCAGGACACCAGTGCTGGGTGTGTCAGCAGAGATGTGGGTGACCTGGTAAGCGGGGTTTTGATGGAGTGGGAGACAGCAAGCTGACGTGACTGTTCAAGAGAGAATGGAAGATAGGAAGAGGAGGAGATGTGTAGGGACAATTGAAGAAATTTTGCTCTAAGTTGCAGAGACATGAGATGATAGCTGAGGGAATGTAGGTACCAGGAAGGACATTTGTGAGGTGGTAGATCTCATGGCATGCTGAGAAAAACGATCTAGTGGAGGGAAAACCTGGCGACGCAAGTGAGAGATGATTGCAGAACAGTCCTCATGTAGCAAAGAGGAGATACTGAAAAGAACGCAGAGGAGCCAAGACGCTTATTGACCTTTGCCCGAGTTCTTTTGTTATTAGGGGACACCATAGCGTGATAGTCCCTAAAGAGCGAAGAGCAGTGTTGTGTGACATTGGCCATAAGCTTTTCTGATTGACCCGGATGTGTACTGAAGACCTGCTTTTCTCTTCCTCCCTTCCAGGTGCCGTGCTATGTGTTTGATGAAGAGTTGAGGAAGCATGATCTCAATCCTCTGATCAAGCTTAGCGGTGCCTACTTGGTGGATGACTCCGATCCGGACACTTCTCTGTTCATCAATGTTTGTAGGGACATAGGTATGAATCTTCGTGGAGCTGAGGGGGTGGTGGTGAGGGGTTTCTTCTGTGGCTTCGATGTCTTTGCGCTTCTACCTTTATTTCTGTTTGCACGTCCATGTTTCTGAGTAGGCCCTCTAAGAAAGCTTTTGTCCCCAAAAATGTTGTCTTTGCACAACCCACCTCTTCTCCCCTAGTCGATTCCATGCCTCCTCCCCAACCCCTGCAGATTCCATCCTAACCGTTGGTCCATGCCATGTGGGTGTTCTCTCTGCCAGACACCTTGGGTTTCAGGATTCTACAGTAGTGAGGGTCGGTCTTGTTCTCCGTGTGCCTGAATCCCTTGGCTCTGAGTTATGGGCCGGGTAAAAAAGAAAAAGGGATGATCAAGGACTTGGGTACTTGGCCGGGATGCGTATTTTGACCCAAACTGACTTGTTCCTGACTTTCTCTGTACTTGCCAGAACTGGTGTGAGAAGCTTCAGCTTTAGAATCTTTGATACATTAACTAAAGGCCATAAATAAATGGTCTTTATTTAAAAAGGGCCATGAAGGGTTTTACTAAGACTTTGACTAGCCTTCAGTTAGTTTTACTAAGCCAGGTTTCTAAAACCCAGCTTGATGTTTCTCTCAAGGGCTGTGAATTGTTAGTCCTGTAGGCCAGGTCTTGTCTTTCTACAGTGCTAGCCATGAGTAAATTCTGCTGGTGACTAATGAAAAGGTCATTTTTAGCATTTTTCTTTGTTTTTTTATTTCTCAAATAGTAATAATGCTTTACCCTTAGAAAAGTTTGGAGAAAATTCTTAAAAACTCAATACATGGTATTGCTGGATAATACATGAGTATTAATTTATTCTTTAAATTGTACATATACATTATGACTATCTTGTTTGTGTATTGTTTCTAAACAGTTAAAAACAGTAAATATACCCCATTCAGGGCTCACCAAAAGTAACCAGTGATAACTAGATTTTTTTGTGTGTTAGAGTATTACATCTTTCTTTTGTTCTCCAAGGATAACCTTTATTGGTTTTTTGGAAAAAGACTAATACAGTCTTTGTCTTAAATGGGTCTGTAACTCAAGTTTGGTTATAAAGTTGATGAGTTGTAGATTATTGAATTCTGAAATAATATGCTATTTTGATTTGAAAAGCATTTAGGTTTCTGGTCTTTTAACATGTTACAGGTCATCTGAATTTGCTGGGTATTTTCTTACAAAAGTTTTTTCTTTCCAATTTACTGGCAATTTGAGTTGAGCTTGAATGACTTTGATTCATAGTAGAGGTTCCCTGGTTTTTACTCAGACATTCTTCATTCCCAGGAAATCGCTCCAAGTCTCAAACCAAGATCGAATGTGACCTTCAAACCCTTGTGGATAGTGTTGGACTTGCTACCACGTGCTTACCTCCTTGCATCCTCAGGGCGCTTGCCGTATATTCTGCCTTTGGTATCCCAAGCGGATTGTCTTACATTGAGTCCCCATGAGGGCAAGGAGCCTGTGGCACAGCAGATACTATAAGTGGAACAAAGCAGTCCATTTGTGACATTTCATAATTCCACATAATTTCATAATTGTCTGGAAGGCTTGAGAGTTAAAAGTTTGCTTACCTTTTCGCTAGCTGGTGCCTCCTTATTGCAGAAGGTAGGCGCTGATCTAGGCACTGGATTATAGCATTGAACACACCACAGTTCCTGTTTTCCTGGAGCGTTAGTTAGGTGGGAGAAAAGATACATAGTCAACAAATAAATCCCAAAGTGTACTGTGTAAGGTATTGGGTCATGATCATAGAAATGAATGGTAAAGAGCAACCCAGCTGTAATCATAGCTATTGCTACTGGCAATCTATTAAGCCTGCATGATGTTCTGGACATATTCTGGGTATGTTCTCATCTTTAATCCTCCCCGAAACCTGTGCATTAGCACACTGGCAATTGGATAGTTTTGTAGTTAGACCAACGTTATAGAGATAGTCAGTGGTTAATTTAGGATTTGAACCCAGCGCTGTGGGTTCTTTCCACTAATCTCCTAATTGTTCCAGTCATCTGTGGAGTGCCTGCATTTTCTAGTCTCTGTAGCTTGAAAGGGGATAATGCTAACGTTGTTGTACCTCAAGCAGAGGATGGGTACATTTGTTAATTACAAATAACATCATAGCCTGTTTCCTGGGCACCTCTTATATACCAGTGCAGAGCCAGTACTTTACATTCCTTCGTCCTGAGCTTTGTTTGCAGAGGGTTAATGGCTTGCCCAAGGTTTCAGAATAGTTACTTATAGAAACTTTTAGGAATTCAGTAATTTGTTTAAAGGGACCCTGGATCTAAGGGTATGTGTGGTTATCACTCCTGACACCTAATCTGATTTAATGTAATACGTGATTTTCAGACACACTTCGAGACCCAGGTTCACAGCTGCGGGCCTGTCCCCCTGGCACTGCCGCCTGCCTGGTAAGAGGCGACCAGGCGTTCAATGTTGGCCAGCCCCAGGAAGGACTGAAGCTGGTGCGCAAGGACAGGTCAGTCGAGGCCTCCGATGTTGTTGGTGTTTTTAATTTCCAGCAAGAACTTGGCTTTCAGGGAGCTGCAGGAACATCCTTTTTCAGCAGGGCTTGGGATAGTCCCTGCAGAGTTACTATCGTAAGATTGTTAGTCATTGCTGTGAGTCAGATAGTCTGGTATGCTTGTCTGCTTTCTAATCATTTGTCTCTTACAGCAGTAAAAATATATCTCATGATCCAATCCATAGTACATACCTTTATTTGCCTCATGAAATAATGGCTATCTTAAGGTGCCATCTGATATTTTTCATTCTGTGGCACCTGTGAAATTGATTTTGTGTCCATTGTTTTCTCGTCTTGGGAGGGCAAGAGACAGGAGGGACAGTTTGCTGGTGACCTTCACTGGGACGTGACAGGCACCCTGGTTCCTGGCGGGGAATGGCGTTCCTTATAATAGGCTGTGCTGTGTACATATGCTCTTGTACTGCCTTTGTACCTTACCTTGGCAGACATATGCATTTCTCCAGTGTGTTGCTCATGACCAGATCCTGAACTTAGATCAAGGATTCACATTTTCTCCCCGTTTAGGGGCCTTTAGGAGACACCTTGTTGTGCTTGCTCTAGTCTGGAGCTTGTGGCATGTCTGGGTAGGGAGCATGTGCAATTATAGATGGCACTGTGTCCAAAGAAAAGACTTGAGCATAACCTCAGGGGAGAAATGTTTGGAATTTTCTATGTGTGTGTGTATTAGTTTACTCAGGCTGCCATAAGAAAATATGACAGGCTGGGTAACTGAAACCACAGAAATGTATATCCTGCACAGTCTAGAGGCTGCACGTCTGAAGAAGGTGTCACCAGGGCTGGTTTGTTCTGAGGCCTCTCTCCTTGGCTCGTTAGATGGCCATTTTCTTTCTGTGTTTTCACATGGCCTTCCCTCTGCGGGGATGTGTGTCCGAATGTCCTCTTCTAATAAGGACACCAGTGATTTTGGGATTAAGGCTCACCCATATGACCTCCTTTTCCCTTGTTCACCTTTTTAAAGGCCCTGTCTCCAAATACAGTCACTTGCTGAGCTGTGGCTTAGGCCTTCAACATAAAAATTTTGAGGGGAAACAGTTCAGTCCCTAACAGAGTCTTCAAGGTGACACATCGGTAATTCTTAATATGAATGAGTGTGAGTGACGATGTAGTAACATGTGGGACACTGAGCAAAACTGTGAACTTCTCTGGTGGGGAAAAGCAGATCATCTCTGATCAGCTATTCTCTAGCAGGCAGCCAGGGGCACTGGGCCCATTCCACACTGAGTGAGTGAACTCTGGTGGTGGGGCCGTGTTGGATGGTGGTTTGGGTAGTGGAAGAGAACCCCACCCAGTTCAGTCCCTGCTGGGCAGGTGCTCTGGGGTTAAGACAAAACAAAACTTTGGCTGGCACTTAGAATTTATTGTGTAAAGAGGAAATGATTGACTAGCCTTGTGGGCAAAAATGCAATTGGCCTACTTGTCTGCTTTTTTTTTTTTTTTTTAATTTTGTTATCTCATTTACAACGTTTTTTTATTTGTTTGCTTTAGTCAAATGGTGTTTCTTCCTTTTTTTAAAAAAGTGCTCTTTTTGTTCCTTTTTTCTTTCCTTATTCTAGGACATGAAGCAGATCAAACAGGTTTTTTTTTTCTTTTTTTTGTTTTTGTTTTTGAGATGGGGTCTCTCTCTGTCATGCAGGCTGGAGTGCAGTGGTGTGATCTCGGTTCACTGCAGCCTCCGCCTCCCTGTTCAAGTGATTCTCCTGCCTCAGCCTCCTCAGTAGCTGGGACCAGAGGTGTGCTACCATGCCCAGCTAATTGTAGTTTTGGTAGAGATGGGGTTTCGCTCTGTTGGCTAGAGTGGTCTCGAATTCCTGACCTCAGGTGGTCCACCATCTTGGCCTTCCAAAATGCTGGGATTACAGGCGTGAGCCACCGCGCCCAGCCAGGTTTTCTTAATATATCAAATTTATGTGTTGGCCACTTTATTTATTTGATTTTTAACCAAATAACACTCACTGGGGTTTACTTAGAACTTTTTTTTTTCCCCAGATGGAAATGAAATGAAGTCATTTTATACCATAGCTGCTTTTATGTTTTGATATTTCTTCTGCTACCCTCTCACCACAAGTGGATGTGCTGGATGCTCAGGGTGGCATATGAATTTGGATACACTTTATACTTTCGTAATACTCTTTTCTCAATGTGGCTCTCCCAGGCTTGTCCTGAGTTACGTGAGGGAAGAGGCAGGAGAGCTAGACTTTTGTGACGGTCACAGCCCCGCAGTGACTATTACGTTTGTTTGCCCGTCGGAGCGGAGAGAGGTAAGTGGCTTGTCTCCCGGTGACTGTAATGTGGCTCAGGTTAGCCTGGGTTGCCCACGTGAACGCGTGTCTGGGCTTGGGGCAGGGCGGGTCTGGGTGCAGGAAGCCGGGAGCTATGACAGAGGCACTGGTGGGCTCTCAGGAGGAGACGAGCTTCCTGGGATAGCTTCTGTCACATGAAGCTCACTCGGGGAGAGCTGTTTGCATTTTGCCTTTTGCTTTTTTACAGCAACCCGGAGGGGCCTCCACATATAATGGGATGGTTTTTTTTTTTGTTCTAGTCTCTGTGAGACGATTTTAAGTAGTTCATGGGCAGATATTTTTGTTTTTGTAGTTGGATTGTTTTAGTGAATAGTGGAAAAATGCAGGATAATTTCAAGCCTGTGATTTCTGATGAGAAGCGTTTCCCTCCCTCTGTTTTCCCAGTCGGCCCCTAAACCCCCACCCATGCCTTCCCCCTTCCTTCTCATCACAGGCCAATTTATTGCTGTGCGCTCTGCTGTGGATGAAATCTCCAGTGCAGTTGTAAACTCTTTGAGTGTAACTGCCGAGACTTACTTGTCCTTGAGTCCTCAGTGCCTGTTGAAGTGTTTTAACCGGGGACAGGTGCTGATGGAAAGGAGGCATCCCCCAGGGAGGAAGGGGTAGGGCAGGGCTTTCCTTTAGTTTCTTTCTGCCTTCTTAGTAATAGGGTGAAGTAGGGAGGGGCTGAATTCTTTTGCAGAGAACCACACTCCCCTTCCCCCAAGCAAATGTGGAATTTGCTCTGACGTCAGGCTGGCAGCTGGCCTGGTGTGTGTGGGATATGGAGACAGTGCTGGGCTCAGCTTTCCACTTTCTGTCCCCAGACTTCCACGTCCATGTACCGTCAACTGAATGAAGGCCTGAGTGTCTGATGTTTGTTCTGAGTATGAATGGGGAGGAATATTTATTCACACTTTTCATTTGTACCTACACATGTGAGTTGAAATCTCTTAAGCCCAGTGAGATGTTCTCAGGCGGTGGTGGTTTTAGTGTTTTCCCTTTTTATTTGCTCTACATTTGGTAAGAATCATTTTACTCTATGAGAATCAAGAGAATTGGGAGTTTTCCTCCTTTTTCCTCGAAGGGGTATGAGGCATTTCTTGGTGTTAGAAGAAGAGGCTGATTGGGTATTACTGGGGCAAGAGGTTCCCTTTTTTTTTTTTTTTTTTTTTTAAAGACAGGGTCTCGCTCTGTCACCCAGGCTGGAGTGCAGTGCCACGATCTCAGCTCACTACAATCTCTGCCTCCTCAGTTCAAGCAGTCCTCCCACTTCAGCCTCCTGAGTAGCTGGGACTACAGGTGTGCGCCACCACGCCTGGCTAATTTTTGTATTTTTAATAGAGACGGGGCTTTGCCATGTTGCCCAGGCTGGTCTTGAACTCCCGGGCTCAAGTGATCCATCCACCTCGGCCTCCCAAAGTGCTGGGATTACAAGTGTGAGCCACTGCGCACGGCCAGGTTTCTTTTCAAGCTTGACTATTCACTGGGCAGACCTTGTGTGACGTGCTTGGACACCGTAATACTTGGGAGGTTTGTTTAAGCATTTACGGTTTGCTCATTGAATCAATTTAGGAACTGGTATTTAGTAAACACTCACCTTGTCATATAGATCTTTTTAAAAATGCTTGATTTATTTACTGGATTTACATACTGTAAAATTCACTGGTGTTTTTTTTTTTCCAGTACACGTCAGTGGTTATTAGTATTTTTTTTAGAAGTGTGCAACCATCATCACAGTCTAAATTTTACATTTCCATCACCCCAAAAAAGAAACCTCCTTCCCATTAGCAGTCTCTTCCCATTCACACCCCAAGCCCTGGTAACTGTGCACCTTCTTCCTGTCTCTGTATTGGCCTTTTTTGGATGTTTTATGTCAGGAGAATCCTACGCTGTGTGGCTTTCTGTGCCTGGCTTCTCTTACGGAGCCCTGGGGTCTGCATCACCATGTGCCAGACTGCACTGAGCCACGTGGGCAGAAGCATCGATTTTGAGTCAGACAGAAGAGGGTTGGGCCCGCAACTCTGCAACTTACTAATGTGTGCGACCTGTTTGTAAACCTGGCACCTAGTGCCTGGCGTGTCGCAGGTGCTCAGTGAGTATTTACGGAGCGAATGGTGCTGGGAAGCAGCACTGCTATGCCCGGTGCTAAGCCCAGTAAGATGTGTCTCCCAAGGATGGTTAAAAAGATGGCAGTGACATTCCTGGTGAGCAGGGACCCCATCAACCCCCTTCACGGCTCTCATCAAAGATGAATGGTGGAGCTCCCACTCTGTAGAAGCAATACAGTGGCAGAATCGGGTGGTGCCCTGGCTTCACCCGGGAGCAGGTGTGGGTACAGATATGGTGGTGCCCAGGATCCCACAGGGGTTGTGGACCGTGCCCTTGGATGTGCACGCATGTGATGACGTTCACTCAGTGTCGGGCTTGCACCACTCCAGCAGCACCTTGTGGAAAGCGGTGAATGGACCATGCACGCTGCACGGCCTGTTAGCGCTTGCCGACGTCCTAGTGACTGCCACATGCCACTGAGTCCAGGTGCTCGCTGGCCAAAGCTTGAGTGTCTCTCTGAAGGTGACTAGACTAGAAAGGGAATAGAGTGTACAAAGTTAATGGAGGTGTTACAAATCAAATGGAAAAAGAAAAAATAACAGTTTAGAAAAAAAAGTAACTTTACTGAGTTGTTATAAGTCAAATAATCTTAATGTGTTAGAGGCAATTCATGATTCAAAAAACAGAAACAGCAAAATGTAGAAACCTAACAACCTGTCTTTGAGCTTTTCATAAGTGTGGAAAATCTGTACTTAAGCCACATGGAACACTTTTTATTTTGCCTCTTTCACATTGTTCCCAATAGGGCACCATTCCCAAACTCACTGCTAAATCCAACTGCCGCTATGAAGTTGAGTGGATTACTGAGTATGCCTGCCACAGAGATTACCTGGAAAGCAAAACTTGTTCTCTGAGCGGTGAGCAGCAGGATGTCTCCATAGACCTCACACCACTTGCCCAGAGCGGAGGTAAGCAGGCGCCTTCTGCTTCCTGGCGCTGCTTAGGAAGAAGGGGATCGAGAGAGGGTACGAGACAATAGGGGGCCAAGTCAGTCCCTGCATGCTCCTGCGTTGGAGAGAGCTTGTAGTTTGGGCTAGTGTTTCAGAAATAGGATTCAGGTTTGACTAAGTAATCCTGTAACCTTCTAATACCTGTTCATGTAAAACAAGCTTCTTGTTAATTTCCCTGTTTTTAGGTTCACCCTATATTTCAGATGGAAAAGAATATTTGTTTTATTTGAGTGTCTGTGGAGAAACTGAAACACAGTTCTGTAATAAAAAGCAAGCTGCGGTTTGCCAAGTGAAAAAGAACAATACGTCTCAAGTCAAAGCAGCAGGAAGATACCAGAATCAGACCCTCCGGTACATCAACAACCTCTGTGTGCTTTTCCTTTTTCTTTGTATTTCTTGAGACAGGCTTACACTCTGGCGCCCAGGCTAGAGTACAGTGGCGCGATCTCGGTGCATTGCAGCCTTGACTTCCCTGCCTCAAGTAATTCACCCACCTCAGCCTCCTGAATAGCTGGGACTACAGGCATGCACCACCATGCCTGGCTAATTTTTGTAGTTTGTGTAGAGATGAAGTTTTGCCATGTTGCCCACGCTGATCTTGAATTCCTTGCCTCAGTGATCCTCCCACATTGGCCTCCCAAAGTGCATGGATTAGAGGCATGTGCCGTGGGACCCGGCCTGCATAATTTTCAAGTGCATTGTGTGTATTCTTGTGAAACATAACTCCCTGTCCTTTTCTTCCTCTTTCCATTTTCCATAAGGTACAGGGAAGTCAGTTACGCCAGCATTCCTTCCTATTAGACTTTGGCAAGTTGCCGTTTGTCACTAAACAATCAAATGTTTTTCCTGGCTTTAGAGTAAGAATGCTTCTGTTAGAACTGTTCACTTTATAAACTTGCTGTTTGTACGGAACCTACTGTAGGAAAATTATTTAATGAGTTGACGGTGGATAGGGCTTTTTTATTTTAAAATTTGTTTTTAAGGAGTTTTGATTTTTCTCTGGCAGTTTGAGAATCTCAAGCACCATCGGCATTACAGAAAATGTTAAACAACTAAAACAGTGCATTCAGCACATTTCTTTTGACCCTTAACTTGGTAGTTAACCTTCAGAAAAGCAGGATGAAAATGCAGTTTTCTGAAAACGTGTTAGGGGCAATTACGATTCAAAAATTAGAAATAGAAAACTGCAAAAAACCCCAGAACTGGTCTTTGAGCTTTTTAAAAGCATGGAATATCTGCCGAGAAGCCGCATTTTAAACATTTTATTTTTGCTTCTTTCAAATTGTTCAGGATCAGTATTGTCCAAGGCCCCTCAGGCACAGCCGTGTTCATGGCGGCTGTTAGGAAGCCTGTCTAATTCTTGGGCGTTATTTATTTTGTACAAAATCTAAAAGTGAGAACAAGAGAAGTCTTCATGCTCACAGCAAAACCTTCAGCACTTTCTTGCAGCCAGTTACTACTTTGAAGCGAGAGGATGTCAAGCCCATACATTTGGAACTCATTTCCTGTAGATATTTTTCCCTAGCTGGCTAGAGAGCTTGCTGTTTTAGATCAGTAGTGATTTGTTGATGCTATGCAAAAGGCTTAGTGTAGACATTTAAAAAGATTCAGGTTTCTTTCTTGGTTCTCCCAAACACATTTGTCTGTATATTCACAAAAATCTAGGTATTCGGATGGAGACCTCACCTTGATATATTTTGGAGGCGATGAATGCAGCTCAGGGTTTCAGCGGATGAGCGTCATAAACTTTGAGTGCAACAAAACCGCAGGTAAGTGTGCGCTGGAGTTCAGCCCCTCCTCTTTCCATTCGTGGGCATGTGCTTGTGTGTGTGCCCAGGTGTGTTCTTGGAAGTGAACATTGAATGGAGGAGTCAGATGCCGTCCTTTGGACTGGCCAGCTCTAGCCCCCAGACTGGGTTTTTTTCTATTGGAGTAACACTTTCCCCACCCCCACTGCCCCAGTGGACACACACATCCTGTTTGCATTTTCCTCGGTTCTCTCTGTTTGTTTTGGGAGTGGGCCCAGCACTGAGCTTGTTGGGAAAGTTTTCGTCTTGCGTTTTGGTGCACACTAAACTACAGCAAGGACAGATTCGGCAGGGCGAGATGGCTTGCCAGTTTTGTTTGAGTGACCTCTTCTTTTATGTCATGAGTGTCAAGGTAATCCTTCTTGCAAAGTGGTGAGCCTGTGGTAGAGTTTGGATCTGGGGATTGCACAATGTCACTGGGTACGTTGAAGCTGAAGGCGTTCATTTCTCCGAGTGATGAGAAGCACCCTTGAGTCACCAAGACACTGGCATTTCAAGAAGCGGTGCCACTGTCCATATCATGACGATGGTAGACACAGTTGTAGCTGCCTCTGGGTTGGCAGCTGCGCCCTGGAGGTGAAGGTGGAAGTCATTCCTTAAAGAGAGTGGCTTAGTGTACTTATTAAAAACCACACCATCAGAAACTTGTGCCATCTGTTGACCCCCAGGCTGCGACTCCAGGCACCCTGCCGGGCACCCTACCACTGCTCAGAGCAGTTCTAGAGCCCATTCTGGGTTTCTGTAGTTTGCCCCAAGTGCTGCCACACCCAGAGGGTCTTTCTGGCCCTTGCTTCCGTGTGTTGTTCTATGGCAGAGCTTTGTGTGGCTTGGTGACAGGGTGGGTTGCTACAGGATTCACTGTGGGATGAGGGAGAGGCAGCTGGACATGATGGGAACCTTGCTCTCGAGGCCTCCAGAGATGAGGTGTGCGTTGGGAGAGACAGTTAGGCACCCCTGCCCTGGTAGCTCCGCAGCGCTGTGAGCGTCCTAGCAAGCAGGCCAAGATCCAGCCCGGGGTTTTCCACTGGGAAGGCTTTCCAGAATGCCCCAGTAACTGCTGTTGTGGCACCTGCCCCTAGGGTGCCCTCGTTCACAGGTCTGCCATTGCTGTCCTTGTTCTCTGCGTGGCCGCTTTTGTTACTTTCCCAATACACACATTTTTTTAGTGCCTATTTGCTTAGGCCCTATGAGGCTGGAGGGTGTTGTAAGGATAGATGGCTCTCTAGGTGTTCACAGTCTAGGAGCAGAGAGAGATAAGGAGCATAAGGATGGAGGTTCAGGGCAGTGCTGCCAGAGTAGAGCTAGTGCTTAGTGTCGTCATTCCGCTCTTTTACCAGGAGGGAGGCACGAAGGTCAACTGGAGTCTGGGCTGGGTGCAGGGGCCAGGCAGTTAAGAGAGAAGGAAGTGCTGCTTGAGCCATGCTACGTTGAGGAGCATGCCAGTCCCGTGTTGGGGTGGCTGTAGGGCCTGGACCTCCAGACATTCAAAGGCATGGACCAGGGTAGCTGCGAGTGGGTCAGAGGCCGTGTATGGGGAATGTGGCTGAAGACGACCTGTAACAGTGAGTGTGCAGTATTGTAAGAAACTTGTATGTCCTGCAGAGGAGCTGGATCATATCTGGAAATCTGTGAAGTCCCAAGGATTTTCAGCAGGGGTGTGACAGACATCTGACTCGTGAATGAGAAAATGCACCTCCCATCTGGTCTAAGCACTCCCTGCACCCCTCAGCTTCTCCATCATTCTCTCATCGCCCTCACCTCTTAGCCTACCTACGCTACGAGCCTACTTAGCCATGTCCGTACCCTGAATCACATCTCTCCTACTCGGTGTCCCCAGTCCCTAGGGATACAGCCTGTATCTTCCCCATGTGCCCAGCCCCTCTGATGCCCAACCTTGGTTCTGGCTCCCAGGTCACCCCAACTGGCTCTCCTGGACTTCCTGCTGGCTTGGGCTGCTCTGCTGTGGTCTGAGTCTCCCTCCAACTTTGTGGTGACCTCCTTTGGCCCTGTTCTATTCAGGGCTTTTTATTAATGACTTGACCGAGATCTTTGAGAGTGTGCTGATCTCATTTGGGGATGCTGGGAAGACGGAATCATTATCCAGAAAGATCGAAAAGGATGAGCAGCATATGAGAAGGGCATTATGTCGTCTCAGACTTACAGGGAAGAGGTATGGGCATTGAGGAGCTGCCAGCCAAGCAAACAAAAAACACAGGAGAGAAAAACCAAAGAACAGAAACAAAGAAAAATAGAAAAAAATTAAAAAGACCTGCAGTGGAGTGGGGAGATCTTGCCTTGTGGTTATGAGCATGGATGAGGCCACACCCTCTGGATTTGGTTCCCAGCCGCCCTAGTTTTTAGTTATGAAACCATGGGGCCCAGAGAGCTAAAGCCCAGATGAGGTGAGGCTTGACAAAATGCTCCGTTTTTCCTTTCCGTTATAAAAATTTTCAAACACAGAAAGAACATTAAAACAAAAATTTACATGCCTGCCCCTCTAACAGCCCTTGATGTTTTGCCAGATTTTTCTTGTAAGCCATGCGTCATTGATGGCCCATATCACCCCACCCTGATGCCAAGAAAGAACGTTCCTTTATATAAATTCAGTACCATTGTTGTACTTAACAAAATTAACGGTGACATCCTGATATCAAAAACCTGTGTTTTCCTAAGCTGTTATCTTTATGATTGTAACAAGGAGCCTGGACAGAGAGATGTTAGGTGTTTTGTGGGAGGGTTTTGAGCTGGTTCTCAGGCAGGAGTTGTATTAAAAAATACTTACAATTCCTTCCAGCTCTGTAATTCAGCACTCCAAACTTTGAGAGCAAACTATGTACTGCAAAATTAGTTCATTATTATTTTGCTCAAATTTAAACTTAGAGTTTTTGAAGAAAATCCCTCAGTGGACTCTGTGTATTAGATAGATGTAGTAATGTATTTCTGAAGGTGAACAGGTGGTAATTGGCTATGTAATAGAAGTGTAGTTTAAGTTGGATCTCTAGGAATTATGCATATGAATCTCAGGTTCATGCATTTTTCAGGATGCAAGTGTATCCTTTGGTCATAATGTTTTTTACCATTTGTTTAAATCTAGTTGTAAAGTGATGCTTTATTATTGGTGTTTCCTTTAAATAAGGATGTTAGATAATTTTTTGGAAGAGCAGAATTCATTAGGATAGGCTAATAAAAAACCACTCACAAATTTAAGTAGCTCAGCCCATTAAAGGTTTCTTGTCTTAGTTCAGTGCTAGTCCTTGGGGATGGGGTTGGGGTACGGGGTGCAGGCTCTGCTCCATGTGGTCATTTGGGGACCTACGCTCTTTCCATCCTGTGTTTCTGCCATCTGTAGGTGTGACTTCCAAGGGCTCTGTAGGATGGTAACATCAATTTCCTTTGTTTTGTTTTTTTCCAGGCCAGAAATAAGTCACTTGGCCCAGCCTGAATAGCAGGGGAGGCTGGGAAATGGAGTTTAGCTATGTGTCTAGAGGAAAAATTAAACGAGTTGGGTAAGAGGTAGCGTTGTTTTTGCCACAGAGAAATCGGTGCTGCTCTCTGCTCCTTAGGCAGAGAGCTCCTTGGTTCCATTTGAAAACTTTCCTTCCCCTTTTGCTGGAGTCGAGAGACTGAGGACACAAAGTGGTGTGCTGGAGAATAAACTCGAGCCTGTGGAGCCAGACTGGCAACTTGGGCATTGTGTGAGTGAGGGAGAGATTGTGCAGAGCTAATCCTAACATTGCTGATGAGCGGACAGAAACCGTAGGCCTCATGAATAGTGATTTCTGAAGTCAAAGCCCAGTATGCTTAAAAATGAACCGAAGTGGTTTGGGAGAGGGGAGCACAACTTACTGTTCTGCTAAAATTCTTTGAGGAATGAAGTAAGAATACGTGTAAGGTACATAGCAATGGTTATTTACAGTGGACTCTGCCTGCAGATTATTAGTACGTCTCAGATGCAAAACCAGCTCAAAAGTACGGGCGAGTACTAGGACGATTTGTGGTGGTATTTAATTGTTTGTAAACTTACCTGGTAAAAGAAAAACGCAGTGAATGCTTCACGTTTGCAGAACACAAATCTTTTTCAATAGTGAAATGTGAATCCAGTAGGATTAAACTGTGTGTAAACCTTGTGGGCGGGATGAAGAGAGGCAGAGGCACGTCATTATTGCTAAGTTAGGTCGTCGGCAAGGTCAGGGGCCAAACCTCACAAACAAAAAACACAGGAGCGAAAACCAAAGAAAAAAAGAAAAATAGAAAAAAACCCCGCAGTAGAGTGGGGAGATCTTGCCTTGTGGTTATGAGCATGGATGAGGCCAGACCCTCGGTCTGATTCGCACTGCCCTAGTTTTTAGTTATGAAACCATAAGCAAATTATTTAGGCATCCTAAATCTGCAAAATGGTGCAAAAATTGTACCTTTGCCATAGGGTTTTGAGGATCAAATAGATTAATATAGTCATGTGTTGCTTAACAATAAGAATATGTTCTGAGAAATGTGTCTTTAGGCGATTTTGTCATTGTATGAACATCATAGAGTGTACTTAACACACACCTAGATGGTATATCTTGCTGCACACCTAAGCTATATACTGTAGCCTATTGCTCCTGGGCTACAAGTGTGTACAGCACGTGAGTGTACTGAGTACTGCCGGCAGTTGTAACACAATGGTAAGTATTTGAGTATCTAAATATATCTAAACATAGAAAAGATCCAGTAAAAATACGGTTTTATAATCTTTTGAGACCACTGTTGTATATGCAGTCTGCTGTTGACCAAATGTTATGCAGCATGTAACTGCATAAAGAAAGTACTTAAACAGAGCCTGTTTTTCTGCAGCTCGCCCTTATGTAGCTGAGATGCTGAGCTCAGTGCCTGGCTGCGACTGTGCTCAGTACAGGTTCGCTGCTGTGGCTGGTAGTATAATTATAGTGATGACACTGTCAAAGATTTGGTAGAAATTACAATGGAAGTATCGTTTGCTCTTGATACAGAATCTTACTTCCCGTTTTCTTAGATCATTGCATAGCTTATGATACCAGACCGCAAGGAGGCAGATCACATGGTGGGAGGCTCAGACAAGGATTATGAAACCATCAGGGTTGGGAAAAGGAGGGTTGTGCCCACGGCCCCCTAGTCTGGAAAGGTGCAGGCATAGGATTTCCAGCAAGCAACAAGTCAGCAAAGCCTCCGAATCTCCGCGTCCATGGGTTGGGGACGTGACCTGTGAAGAGCTGGTTTTCAGACTTAGACCTGAACTATTCCTGCTGAGGAATGGGAAGTGTGGGGGGCTCCCTCTTGGTGGAAGAAGAGGCTCAATTTGAGGAAGGTGTTACAGACAGGTGCACTGACGGAGCCACAGAATGCCAGCGCTGTTTGAAGATGTGCCACTAACATGGTTGGGCTGGCATAGGACCTTGGTGTGCTTTCGCTGGGAGCAACTGACTAGGTGGTTTCCACCCTTGTTTTACTTTAGGGACGAGTCCCAGAGAACTTGTCTTGTTCACAGTTGCATCACGAAGTCAGTGGTGCTCAGGGAACTAGAGCTCCGTTTCTGTCTTCCTTTCTGTGAGTCCCCAGTGTCACCCAGAGATGTTCAGAAGCCTCTGGGAGCTGACCACAGCCCGGGAGCAGAGGATCCCACTCACTGCTCTTGCATTCCTCCTGCCTGCCCTTTTTATCTTATCTTTGAAGGCGCTGTACACAGCCTTCTGTCAATGTCTCCCAAGGTGAAAGGCATGCTGGCCTGCCAGCCTGCCATCGAGGACTTAGGGTTAAGCATCTGAAGCTCAATAGAAGCCTCTGCCATCTCAGACCCCCATGGGCTGTAAAAAAGTCTGGACCTGAATTTTTTAACTGGTCAGTTGGCATTGGTCCTGTTCAGTTTCTTCCTTACTCCTTAGCTGTTCCTCAGTTTTGGTCACGTATGGAGTTTAAATTTCTCCTCTTGAATCGTACAGGTAAAGATGGGAAAGGAAATCCTGTATTCACAGGAGAGGTTGACTGCACCTACTTCTTCACATGGGACACGAAATACGCCTGTGTTAAGGAGAAGGAAGACCTCCTCTGCGGTGCCGTCGATGGGAAGAAGCGCTACGACCTGTCCGCGCTGGTCCGCCACGCAGGTACTGCCCTCCTTGCCGTGTGGGTCTCAGTCCACGTGTTCATGGAACATTTTCCCCGAGTACTTTTGGAAATGCTGTTACTATTTTCTTTGTCGGTGGGCTGGGTCACAGCCCACCGCCCACTTTTTTCGTGTGGCTGTATGAATTATTAGAAGGAGCATTGGATTGGGAGGTGGAGTATCTGAATCTGAGACCAGCATTATTGTTTTCTGGTCGGGTTACCTTGGACTCATCATAGTTGAGCGGAAACTGCCCTGCACCTGCAGGGTGTCAGGCCTGTGCTCTGTGTTGTTTAGAAGCTTGCTTGCTTGCTTTTTTTTCCTTTAAAGTTTTTTTTTCTCTCTTATAACAGCCTTCCCATAGGCCATATTCCCACTTAACACAGGAACTCTCAGGCCCACAGAGTGGAGCTGCGGCTCAGTTGCTGTCTTTTGACCTTGTGTTTTCACCCTTTTACACACTGCCTCTGTCCCGTCTCTGAGGTGGGATCTGCAGCCTCTGCCCCCCGGGGTTCTTCTGTTTGGATCCTCTAGGCAGATGGATGTGTGCCTTGGGCCGCTGTTCACTGGTGCCTCAGTGGTGTGCAGTGGGCTTGTCCTCGAGGCTGAGCTTGCTGTTGCACAGCAGGCACCATACGAGGTGCCGAGGAGGCAGCAGTGCCCCCCACAGCACAGTCCCTGTCCTCGGGGGCTTGGAATTTAGCAGGAAACAGAGCAGATCGAATAAGAAGAATGGGAGTCTCAAACAGGGATAATCTGGGGGAGATTTCTGGTTTTACCCTTTTGGCAGCTCAAATTAGTTGTGCAGAAGTCAGTTGCCTCTGTAAGGGGGAGATGACCCGAAGCAGAGAGAATGACTTGCCTCATGTAATTACCAACCAGAACAGTCACAGAACTGCTGACGGTATGTTCTCGCTCGTAAGTGGGAGTTGAACATTGAGAACACATGGACACAGAGGGGAACAGCACACACCAGGGCCTGTTTAGGGTTGGGGGCGAAGGGAGGGAACTCAGAGGATGGGTCAGTAGGTGCAGCAAACCACCATGGCACATGTATACCTATATAACACACCTGCATGTTCTGCACATATGTGTCCTTTTTTTTAGAAAAATAAAACTGCAGCGGTGACAGGACTGCTACTCCTGTCTTCTGAGCCCCACCTGGTTTGGAAAATACCAGGTTAGAAAGAGGAATGAATCCCTCTTGTGGAGTGTTTGAGAACCTGCCTCACTGTGAACCACGTGGACAGTGAGTGCTGGCAGTGCTGTTGTGGTTAAACACCCTGTGCGCTGCAGGGAACGGTGCTGTAATTAGTTCTGCCACGTGTGTGCTAGGGAAGACACTGGTTTTCTGTGAAGTGGAAAGAGTTCTAGCTGCAGAGTTGGAGACCTGGCTGAGGACTGATGTTGCCACATCCAATTGCGTTTGCTTGAGCGAGCCGCTCTCCCAGCCCGAGTTTCTTCCAGTAAAGTGGGTGGTCCTGTGAGATCCCTTAAGTCAACCTTTTTTTTTTTTAAAAAACACCACTGTGTATAAGAGACAACCTAGGACCTGTGAGATAAGGAGAGAGACATTTTTCAATCTGTAGACTTCCTGACACAGCTCTGGTCTCTTGGAATCTGGAGTATTTCGTGGCATTTGCACGGAGATAGCCCTAAGGAAGTTACGAGGGGAGAGCTAAAACTGCTCCTTACTGCTTGAAGAAGTCCCTTAAGACTTTACAGCCCACCTGGCTCCCCCCCAGACTTCCAGTATTTAGGGCAGGTCCTTGTTCACATGCACAGTCTTGTATGGTTTCTTTTAGGCTGTTGACATTGGAAAGTACTTCTCCAAATGTACTGTATCACCACTGATGAGTCATGGGGTTTTTGCCTTCCAAACCCCAGTACCCAACCTGCAAAGGGAGCGTTTTCAAATGAGAAGATGTATTTTTATATCTTTACCTCCTTCTTTACACACTTTCTAAGTTACTTCTTCAGCGATTGTTCACCGTGTGGTTTGCTTTTTGTGGATGCCCTTGCCCTCGCTTGCTGCGCTGGTGACACTCAGCTGGTGTCCCCTCACCTCCTGCAGGCGCCTAATCAGTGTCTGCTCACACTCACCAGCTCATGAGTCTTGTGAGTTCGGCGGCCACCTGTGGTACCTTGCTTGTCTTCTGTGGTAGCATGCATTGTGTCCTGCACCGAGTCTGCAGTTGTGTAAGAGGTTGCTGGCTTTTTTTTAGCTGCACAGGCCTTCACAGGGGCTGAGCTGAGCTGGTGTATTATCAATGGTGTACCACTCTACTGTGTCCCAAGACACAGGATGGCTTCTTGATTTGGGTTTTCAGTTTCTAATTTCATACTGTGGGGCTTGGGAGACTTTTGCTATTTAATTCTCTGCCACCCAGTTGGGCCTACTCTTCTGAAGAAGTATTGGGGTATAGTTTATTTCTGTCACATTAAATGAGAAACCTGAGAATCTCGGTGAATTTTTGTGCCTTCAGTCTGTCCGGGTTCCAGAAACGTGAGCGCTGGGGATTGAGGGACGAAGTGCTTTGGGAGCTCTGGTCCCTTGACCTTTGGCTTCATCACCATTTATTCTGTGATTCACAGAAATCAGCATTGCTTTTGGCTAAAATACACTTTTGTTACAGAACCAGAGCAGAACTGGGAAGCCGTGGATGGCAGCCAGACGGAAACAGAGAAGAAGCATTTTTTCATTAATATCTGTCACAGAGTGCTGCAGGCAGACAAGGCGCGAGGGTGCCCCGAGGATGCGGCAGTGTGCGCAGTGGGTGAGTTGTGTCCGGAGGGAAGATCTAGGTGATGGTTTTCTAGAGCATCCAGTTGGGAGTGAGTTAGAAGAGCTTCCTGTGGTTCATCTAAGCCTCCTCTTTCTATATTCACATAAAGGATGGTAAAACATTTTTATTCATGAATCAAATGTCGCTGACTGCTTGATGCGCTCTGGAATCCTGAAGTTGGCTGAAGCTTCCTGATATGGGCTAAAGCCATAACTGGGAACAGAAGGAACCATGTGGAAAATACTACGTCATCTTTTTAGTTTGTAACCTGAAGAATATCATTGCCAGTATTTGTGTACAACTAATTTTATTTTTTAAAACAACTTTATTGCCTAGAATTGTTCAAAAGTTGTGGCTTAAGGAAAGTGTAATCTCAGCTGTAGCCCTAGTGTAGGAGGGGCCTGCATGCTTCGCTTCCTTTTGCTGTCATTGTTTTGGTCCCGTAACTGTCATGCAGAGACTCCTCAATTATTTGATACAGGTATTTAGCACATTCATTTTTGTCTTTTGTGACTCACTTTGAAAACGCCAGGCTATGAGAATCTGTTAAAAGCATTCAGTAAGAAATTGTGAGCCTCGGTTGGATTTTAGGAATGACCCTGGTATTCAGAGTTGCTGGTGTGTCTTCAAAAGCAGGTTCAGTCATGTCCGTGTCTTTACTAAGAAGGACTTCGGAGCAGAGTTTTAATCCTTTATAATAAAAAGCAAGTGAACCAAGAAGTAAGTGGCCTCCCGCTTGGGTTGCTAAACAGGTTTCGTTAGTTTCCGCTTTGGATATGAGACACATTCTCACCCTTTGGCTGTGTGGCTGTGCTTTCAAAAGACTTCGTGTCTTGGGATAGCTGAAGCCCCGACAGTGGCGGACAGTGTCAGTTTACAGTTGGCGCTGATGCATGTTGCAAAAGCTATTTGGATTTTCATTTTGCGTCATTCATGGCACCTTCCTGCTGAGCGTATGGATGACCTTGGAGGACCCCGATGTGGCTGGTAACATCTAGTCAAACGTGGCACTCTAGGGAAACCCATCGGCTGCCCCGGGGGGTTCGGTGGGCTGGAGAAGGGCTGCACTGGCTGGGTTTGGGCTGATTTCTTCTTTCTTTTTTTTTTAATCACTTCTTTGTCCGCATGGTGATAATTTGTAACCATATCTTTTTTTTTTTTTCCCCCTTTCTCTTCCAGATAAGAATGGAAGTAAAAATCTGGGAAAATTTATTTCTTCTCCCACAAAAGAGAACGGCAACATTCACCTCTCTTATTCAGATGGTGATGATTGTGGTCGTGGCAAGAAAATAAGAACTAATATCACACTTGTATGCAAGCCAGGTAAAAATTTTAAAAACGATGAAATCTTTTGTTGGGTTCTGCCAGAGGTCCTGCATTCTTCGTATCTCTGTTCCTCATCAGTCACTGCAAAGGTGATCAGACAGATTGGCATGGTGTTAAGCATTTTGAGTTCCAGAATCTTTGGTGATGGGAACTAGGTCATTTAGACTTTTCCCCTCATACCCTCCCCAAAACCAAATGAGAAATGGAGAAACCAGATGGTGTCAGAAGGAAGTGTTGTGGGTCTCAGCAGTGCATCCTCTTCCTCGCGACTGATACGGGGCCAGTCATGCGGTTACTTAACTTCCTCCAAAGGGGAAAAAAATCATAAATGGTTTAAAACATTGCCCATGATCTCACCACTTAAACACAATGTTAATTTTCATTACCTTTATTTATAGGTGTGTGTTTTTACCAAGTCAACATTTTTATGTTAACAAATCTTAATGTTTCTCAAAGTGTAGTGTTTCGTAAATACTCTTCTATGCTTCACAGTTCTATTAATAATTTTTAGGAACTTCCTCGTTGACATGGTGTGGTTTTACTATTTTTAAACATTTTTCTTATTGTTGGATTAATAGCACGTTTCCAGTATTGCTAATCGTGCCATTATGTATCCTCTCTCTACCTCCCATCGAAATATTTCCTTTGGATAAGTTCCCAGCTGTGGGATAAAGTCAGAAGCTAGGATCATTTTGTTTGTTTGTTTGTTTTACGGTAAAATATACAACATAACATAAAATTTACCATCTTAACCGCTTTTAAGTGTGTAGCTTGGTGACATTGTTGTGTAATACCATCATCATGCATCTCCAGAACTTTTTCATCCTCCCAGACTGAAGCTCCCTTCCCATTAAACACAGCTCTCCATTCCCTGTCTTTTACTTTTTGTCTCTACGGATTTGACCGTTCTAGATACCTCATATAGATGGAATGCTACAGTATTTGTAGGGCTGTTTTTTGACCCTTCTATGCATTCTACCTCACTTCCTGCTGTCCCTTCCAAGTCTACTTCTAGCAGAGAAGAATGAGGGAAGATTTTTTAGGAATGAATGGATTAGTGATCCCCATCTCTTTTCCCCATTGACAGGTGATCTGGAAAGCGCACCAGTGTTGAGAACTTCTGGGGCAGGCGGTTGCTTTTATGAGTTTGAGTGGCACACAGCTGCGGCCTGTGTGCTGTCGAAGACAGAAGGGGAGAACTGCACGGTCTTTGACTCCCAGGCAGGTCTGTGTCTGAGCAGGACCTCTGCGTTAATGTGACTTGGAACCACTTAAGGTTTTTTCCTAAACATTCTCTGTGAGGTTTTCAAGGTAACCTGCCTTAGAATTTTATTCAAGCTGTTTGAACACAATTCTGAACAGCCGATGTTTGGGACTTATTTGAGATATTGAAAATACTATCTTAAATTCATTATTGAGGTGGGTTTGCTGAATGGTAAAACTTTTGGAACTCAAGGGAGTAAATTAGGTTTGAAAAGGCTTTCACGTGAATTCTAGGCAAGAAACCTCTCTGAGGGAGACCTTACAAGAAGGCCATAATATTGTGCTCATCCTACTTTGAATGTGCTGGTTGTTTATTAGCCCAGCAGTTATGGGCTTTTTTTAATAGGGCTTTAGGCTAACCCAGTAGAAGGGAATGGTGGAGTTGGATCCATCTCAAAGGAAAATGTTAGTAATCGCGGTTCTGGTGGCCTCAAGGGGCAGTGTCTCTTGTGCCTCCTCCACTTCTTCCCGCCATTGGGAACCCCCTGGGAAGGACCTCTCCCTTTCAAACTGTGGGGTGAGACCACTCTGTTAACTGTTCGGACTGACCTTCCATAATTTTACTGTTTTTATTCTTTCTTAGGGTTTTCTTTTGACTTATCACCTCTCACAAAGAAAAATGGTGCCTATAAAGTTGAGACAAAGAAGTATGACTTTTATATAAATGTGTGTGGCCCGGTGTCTGTGAGCCCCTGTCAGCCAGACTCCGGAGCCTGCCAGGTGGCAAAAAGGCAAGTAGCTAGCTTCTCAGTTCTGTTGCATTCTTAGGTATTATGTGCTAACAAATATTTTTTGCAGGAATAGGTGTGTTCTCACTTAATGTCATCACTTTATGACAAGCATTTAAATAGTGATGAGACCTGGTCTGAAAACTGAAGGATGTGAGGAGTTTAATTTCCCAGAGGAAGGAGCAGGCCCGTCCTTGGGAAAGAAGGGTGGATTGAGGTCATGCCTCACTTGTGCGCATTTTGCGCTTCTCATTTCTAGATATTTCTGTGCGTATTTCTGCATTCTGTGTAGCTTTAGTTAAAATGAAGTGAGTTGTCTAAACCAGTGGTGCCAAGAGGAGATTTGGGTCCCAGTGTCCCTGCTGCGGTTAGAGACCTGGTGTGAGTTCCTGTGGTCTGCAGCCCTGGCCTGGTTCTGGTGACTCCCCACGTTGCTCACGGGCCCTCCCTTCAGTGTGGCAGCCTTGCACTGCTTCTACCCTCAGGCCTTTGCTGAGAGAAACGTGTGTTTATTTCAGTGACGAGAAGACTTGGAACTTGGGACTGAGTAATGCGAAGCTTTCGTATTATGATGGGATGATCCAACTGAACTACAGAGGCGGCACGCCTTATAACAATGAAAGACACACACCGAGAGCTACGCTCATCACCTTTCTCTGTGATCGAGACGCCGGGGTGGGCTTCCCTGAGTATCAGGTAGGAATGTTTGTCCCTCATCGCGCTCCCTGAGGATACTCGCGCCTGTGCTGGGCCTTTCATTGAGAGGCAGAGCTTGTGTCAGTCTGGGTTTCTGGCCAAATCATCACCATAATTAGATTTGACAGGGTACCTAGGCAGTATTAGTTTCTTAAGCTGTTTATTTAGTGGGTTGTGCACCTTAATAACAGCCCACAAGCCTGTCAGTTTTGGGCACAAAACATGCCAAAGCATTAAAAAAATCCTGAATTAACCCCCACTTAGCAGAGGCTAAGTTTTCATCCTGATTTATTACTGAACAATCTTCCTTTAATAAAACAAAGGGAGATGGGCAGAGTAGGCTTTTTTCCACAGTTTCTCATTGGGAACATTGCTCTTGTCCTTTTTTGAATCCTGGCTTTATGTCATGTGTCTTTCTCTTTTTGCCATCCCTCCCCGCATTTCTCTGCTGCCGTGGATTAGGAAGAGGATAACTCCACCTACAACTTCCGGTGGTACACCAGCTATGCCTGCCCGGAGGAGCCCCTGGAATGCCTGGTGACCGACCCCTCCACACTGGAGCAGTACGACCTCTCCAGGTGAGGCAGAGTCAGCTGCTCTGTTTTTGGCCTGGTGCAGATGCTGAGGTTGCAGGTGTTGCTGGCGAGCCTGTGACTGAGCTGATGGTGGGGAGTGATACTGGCTCTGGGGCTGCAGGACCAAGGTGGGGCACTTTTAGCAGAGTGAATTCTAATAACAGTCTGGTTGCCTTTGGGATAGCAACCAGTCTTGGCCACAGCAGAGCCTCAGCCTTTAGCTTCATCATTTAAACCAATGACTGTCAGTTCAGAGGCATGGGGGACAGTTAAGGTCCACTGCATACCGAGTTTAGCGAAGGTTGAGTGTAATCCTGGTGCGTCTTGAGTCCAGACAAGCCAACTTCTGGTTGTGTGATTGGTGGAGCGTGCTTTATTTGGTAGCTTTACTTCCCCAACTACATAGAAATAAATTAGACTGAAATGTGTAAGCTCTTAAAGAGCGTATAATTTTGCTTTGAAATTTTAGTCTGGCAAAATCTGAAGGTGGCCCTGGAGGAAACTGGTACGCCATGGACAACTCAGGGGAGCATGTCACGTGGAGGAAATACTACATTAACGTGTGTCGGCCTCTGAATCCAGTGCCGGGCTGCAACCGATACGCATCGGCTTGCCAGATGAAGTATGAAAAAGATCAGGTGAGTCTGTTTTCACTGCTTGTCTCCTTTGCCCTCCTAATTCCGTGACTTAGTGGGAGGAGGTGGTTATTTTGGGACATCCAGATCAAAGGCGGCACAGCTGCTCGAGAGAAATCCTCCGAGTAGGAGTGGGGCCTCCATGTGAACTCGTCTGCCCCCTGTAGGAGCAGAAGTGTGTCACACAGGAATCATCGTTCACGTGGAGAATGCTGTGTTGGAGACCTTTGATCACACAAAGGGCAGAGGAAGCACCGAATGGTTATGTCTATCCTGAATTCAAAAGCGTCTTTAGGTGCTTTCAGCAGACACCTGTGAAAAAGAGCGTTTTGCTTCCAAAAGCTCTTGCTTCTGGATTGATTAGGGGGAGAAAGCGGTTCGGGAGAGTTACAGTGGATGAAATAGATTCCAGCACGCACTCTCAGTCGCTGCAGTTCGTCACTGGGTTGAATGCAGTCACTGCCAGAACATTGGCCTGTCTCCTGTGGTCGTTGTACGTGATGAATCCTAAAATAGAGATGTCTCTGGAAGTTGGCTTCTGTAAAAATAGCATGTTGGGAATGTACTTTTCTTAGTGTATGCTAATGGCAGCTTGGAGGTTTTTGAAAGGAAGGTGGCAAGTGTGCTCTGGTGATTAGGAATTGAGTTCCTGGTTGTGTTTACCTGTGCACATGTGTGTTCTTGACTGGAGCAGTGACTTCAGTGTACAGTCAGTCCTCATTATTCACAGATTCTGCATCTGTGAACTTGCCTATTTGAGAACACTTGTAATTCCAAAATCACTGTGCGGAGCACCCCCTCAGTCATTGCTGGAACGAGTGTAGTGGCCCAGTGTGCATAGTGCCCGACAAGTGTGTTCCTGGTTGATGTTGAACAGGGGGATGCTCTGGGCTCTTGTTTCTGCCTCACCCTGAGATGAGCAGAGGATGGAGAGGGCGAGGCAGTGCAGTGCAAAAGCTCCAGCCCTGGGGCCAGTTGGAGGGGTCTGAATTCCAACTCTGGCATCTCCACTCAGAGATGCTCCAGAGCTGGAACTTCCACGCTGCACTGCCTTGTAAGGTCTCCCTAACAGAAGTTTCTTGCCTAGAATTCACACTAAAGCCTTTTCAAACGTGACTTATTCCCTTGTGTTCTGAAAGTTTTGTGGGGCAGCCTCAGGTGAGCCACTTAACACTCCTGAGCCTTGTTTTTCCTTTTGTAAAATAAAGAGAATAGAATCCGTCAGCATGAGTTGTCTTGGGATTTCAGATTATAATCTGTGTGTAATAGGTTTGTTTGCCTGGTATACAGCCGGTCAGCACACTGCGACACTGGGGTTTACAGCCGAGAGAGAGTTTCATTGTAGGGCAGGCGAATGAGGAGATGAGAAGAAACCTCAAATTCACCTCCCCAAGGAATTTGGGTTTAGGGACTTAGGGGATTTGGAGCGGGCCAAGGTGTGGGGATTGCTTATTGGTAGAAGAGTGCAGGGTGAAGTCGTGGGATGGGGAGATGAAGAAACTGCCTTTGGTTCCCTGTAGGAAGGTCTTCAAAGTGGTTAGTGTCAGCCGTTCCACCGGAATTCAGGATCCGAAGAACATCTTACGCAATTCTGGAACGAAAGCCTTATGATTCTAACACCAGTGATTCTTTCTGTAGCAATAATGGGGATGCGAGTAGTATTAGTGCTACGTGACTTTCAGTTACAGGCCAGCATGCAGCCTGATTGCTGCTTAATTGCGTGCCCGGAACCCAGCATGCAGTTGTTGTTAACTCTTTGAGGATGGTTTCCTATTCCATATGTAATAAGGGGATTTCCCCAGGAGCAGTGGTTCTGTATTCGATAATTCATTGTTTGCTGCAACTTTATAGAACGTAACGACTACCAATAACAAATTGACCGTATCTTCCGAGGGAAAAGCCTGACAAGACTGGTTTCCTTGCAGGGCTCCTTCACTGAAGTGGTTTCCATCAGTAACTTGGGAATGGCAAAGACTGGCCCGACAATTGAGGACAGCGGCAGCCTCCTTCTGGAATACGTGAATGGATCGACCTGCACCACCAGCGATGGCAGACAGACCACATACACCACGAGGATCCATCTCGTCTGCTCCAGGGGCAGGCTGGTAAGGCGCTGCTGCTGGCCGGTGACCTTCACTGCTGTGTTTTTTGACTGAGCGTTGCCTTGTGTGTCTCTTGATAGAAACGGTCTTGGGGTGGGTGGTGGAGTTAGGCCAGTCTTAGTTCTGCTCAAGGTCAGCGTGCAGTATATATGTGCACAGTCAGGGAGGGATTTGTGGTACCTTCATGGCTGCGATTTCTGAAGTGTAAGCCTCATCTTTTGCTGTGGGGTTGGAGGCTGTGGTGACAGACACTGTTTCATGGATTTTCTTTCTGAGTCATACAGACATTACGTTGCCTCTTAGTTCTTGTGAGTTGAGGATCGTGGCAGTGGAACGGGGCTTAGAGATAGTTTGGTCCTGTAGGAGCCGAGGGAAAGCTTCCCTTTCACCCTTTGAAGTTTCCCTGAAAATCAGCTGTCAACAGGAGAAAAGACATTAAAATTTTAACGTGCATAGCACTGGGGAATAAATAGCAGGAGAAAGATAACCCAGTAGCCTAATGCAACACAGAAGATTATGCACCCCATTTCACAGGGGAGAGGGAGATGGGGGATGCAGACAGTTCTTTTGAGGGGGCAGCAAATGATTATTTGGGAGAAAGAATGGACAGAAATTAACTTGCAAATGATTCTCTTTGGAGCCTGAATGAGGAAGGCATTATCTGGTGAACAAGTCTGTCCAGGTGTGGTTGCTGTCCTCAGTCTTCTTTTGTGGGATAGATAATGAGATTTCCGAGTTTCTTTTGGAAAGAAGCCTTCTTGGTCAGGTAAGGAAATCCCGGAGAAAGTCCCTCCCTGTGCTTGGGGGTGGAGGTAACAAGGCACAGTTAAAAGGACGACCTTGATTCTCAGGCAGCTTCTCAGCATGTCAAAGCACCAGTCCTTGGGGTATTGCGTTCTGAGCTGCAGCAGCCCAAACCACAAAGTCCACAGATAGGAATCTGAGGCTTGATATATCTCAGGCCTATGGGTGAACAATGAGGGTCGTACGTGTAATACAAAACAGGAATAAGAAATTAAGGCTGAAGGCTGGACACACTGGTTCAGATCTAATCCAGCACTGTGGAAGGCCAACATGGGAAGATCACTTGAGGACAGGAATTGGTGACCAACCTGGACAACATAGTGAGACCCCATCTCCAGAAAATAAAACAAAATTTAGCCAAGTGTGGTGGCTCATGCCTGTAGTCCCAGCTACTCTGGAGGCAGAGGCCAGAGGACTCCTTGAGCCCAGGAGGTTGAGGATTCAGTGAGCCAAGATTGCACTGCAGCCTGGGAGACAAAGCGAGCCCCTGTCAAAAAAAAAAAAAAAAAAAAAAAAAAAAAAAAAAGGGAGGCAGAGATGAAAGGATTGTTTGAGCCCAGGAGTCCGAGACTAGCCTGGGCAACCTAGTGAGACCCCATCTCTACAAAAAAAAATTTAAAAATTAGCCAAGTGTGGTGGTGTGCACCTGTAGCCCCAGCTACTGGGGAGGCTGAGGTGGGAGGTTCACTTGAGCCCAGGAGGCAGAGGTTGCAGTGAGCTGAGGATGTGCTACTACACTGTAGCCCCTTGGCAACAGAGCAAGATCTTGTTTCAAAATAATAATCACATAAGCAACTTCAGCAAAGTCTCAGGATACAAAGTCAATTTGCAAAAACCACAAGCATTCCTGTACACCATTAACAGACAAACAGAGAGCCAAATCATGAGTGAACTCCCATTCACAATGGCTGCAAAGAGAATAAAATACCCAGGAATCCAACTTACAAGGGATGTGAAGGACCCTTTCAAGGAGAACTACAAACGACTGCTCAAGGCAATAAAAGAGGACACAAACAAATGGAAGAATAGTCCATGCTCATGGATAGGAAGAATCAATATCATGAAAATGACTATACTGCCCAAAGTAATTTGTAGATTCGATGCCATCTCCATCAAGCTACCAATGATTGTATTCACAGAATTGGAAAAAACTACTTTAAAGTTCATATGGAACAAAAAAAGAGCCCACATTGCCAAGACAATCCTACGCAAAAAGAGCAAAGCTGGAGGCACCACGCTACCTGACTGCAAACTATACTACAAGGCTACAGTAACCGAAACAGCGTGGTACTGGTACCAAAACAGATATATAGACCAATGGAACAGAACAGAGCCCTTAGAAATAATACCAAACATCTACAACCATCTGATCTTTGACAAACCTGACAAAAACAAGAAATGGGGAAAGGATTCACTATTTAGTAAATGGTGCTGGGAAAACTGACTAGCCACATGTAGAAAGCTGAAACTGGATTCCTTCCTTACGCCTTATACAAAATTAATTCAAGATGGATTAAAAACTTAAATGTTAGACCTTAAACCATAAAAGAAAAACCTAGAAGAAAACTTAGGCAATACCATTCAGGCCATAGGCATGGACAAGGACTTCATGACTAAAACACCAAAAGCAATGGCAACAAAAGCCAAAACAGACAAATGGGATCTAATTAAACTAAAGAACTTCTGCATAGCAAAAGAAACTATCATCAGAGTGAACAGGCAACCTATAGAATGTGAGAAAATTTTTGCAATCTACCTATCTGACAAAGGGCTAATATCCAGAAGGTACAAAGAACTTAAACAAATTTACAAGAAAAAAACCCCATCAGAAAGTGGGCAAAGGATATGAACAGACACTTCTCAAAAGAAGACATCTGTGCAGCCGACAGACACATGAAAAAATGCTCATAATCACTGGTCATCAGAGAAATGTAAATTGAAACCACAATGAGATACCATCTCATGCCAGTTAGAATGGCAGTCATTAAAAAGTTAGGAAACAATGCTGGAGAGAATTTGGAGAAATAGGAATGCTTTTACATTGTTGGTGGGAGTGTAAATTAGTTTAACCATTGTGGAAGACAGTGTGGCGATTCCTCAAGAATCTGGAACTAGAATTACCATTTGACCCAGCAATCCCATTACTGGGTATATACCTAAAGGATTATGAATCATGGTACTGTAAAGACACATGCACATGTATGTTTTTTGCGGCAGTATTCACAGTAGCAAATATGTGGAAAGAGCCCAAATGTCCATCAACGATAGACTGAATTAAGAAAATGTGGCACATATACACCATGGAATACTATGCAGCCATAAAAAAGGATGAGTTCATGTTCTTTGCAGGGACATGGATGAAGCTGGAAACCATCATTCTCAGCAAACTATCATAAGGACAGAAAACCAAATACTGCATGTTCTCACTCATAGGTGGGGATTGAACAGTGAGATCACTTGGACATAGGGTGGGAAACATCACACACTGGGGCCTCTCAGGGAGTGGGGGTTGGGGGAGGGGTAGCATTAGGAGAAATACCTAATGTAAATGATGAGGCAATGGGTGCAGCAAACCAACATGGCATATGTATACCTGTGTATCAAACCTGAACGTTGTGCACATGTACCCTAAACTTAAAGTATAATAATAATAAAAAGACATTTAAAAATCATAATAATAAAATGAGTTAAGTTAGGAGGTAGAGGAGGTGAGTGGGATTGCTGTTGGCCCTGAGTTCCTTAGCTAGAGGAGAACAGCAGACTGTGTGGAGTTTGCTTCGCTCTTCTCTCCATGGAAATGCTTTGGGGCCATTTTATACAGTCCCAATTGCTTCTATTTTTTAATTGGGGTAAAATACATATAATATTAAACTGACCATTCTGACTGTCTTTGGGTTACATATATTATGCACATCTCTAGTGTCCTGTATTTATCACCGGTATCCATGTCCAGGACTTTTTTTCTTTTTTGGGGACAGGGTCTTGCTCTGTCGCCCAGGCTAGCGTGCATTGGGTGCCATCGTTGCTCACTGAATCACTGCTGCCTGAACTTCCTGGGCTCAAGTGACCCTCTCACCTCAGCCTCCTGAGGAGCTGGAACTACACATGGAGTTACCTGTAGTTATCAAAATGGTTTTTAAAGCTTTTGTAGAGATGAGGTCTCTCTATGTGGCCCAAGCTGGTCTTAGAACTCCTAGGTTCAAGCAGTCCTCCTGCCTCAGCTTCCTCAAGTGCTGGGATTATAGGTATGAGCCACCACACACAGCCTAGAAATTTTTTGATAGTCTCAAATCTAATTTGGAAAGGAGAGCTTTATTTCTCATAAAGGTTTGCAGCCTGCAGGGTGGCCCTTTCTGACAGGCTGGGAAGCATAGCCTCAGGCCAAAAGCCAGAAACCAGCACTGGTAGGGAGGAAGACTAAGACACGAATGGATGCTGAACAGGTTAGCCAAGTATAGATATTCAGCAGGTTACAGGAGCAGCTGTGCATATTCATGAAGGGATGGCATGCACACGCGTGGTAGGCAACATGTATGCAGCATGTGTCCCCACGTTCATTTTGGGTTGGAGATGTGACATTTAAATATATTACAGTGAGGCCCTGTATGTCGAAAGGTGAAGCAGAAGACATGAAGGCCCTCTGTGTGCAGCCTCTGTAGACGGCCAGGACCACCTGGGAGTTGTGGTCTCTTATCAGGAGGGAATGCTGATCGATACTGTGTTGTCAGAACTGCAGAAAAGGAGGGACATTGTCAGGCGGTGGATTGATACCAGCAGCAGAGTCTTTGAAAAGGGCCAGCTTCTGTTTGGCACTCAGGGAAGAAAACCTAGCAGTTAATGAGGAGAGGAGTGTAATGAGGTGTGTCTCACCTCCCACCCGTTATGGACAGGAATGCAGTTTTTAAAATTTCTCTGGGGTCCCCTTGGCCAAGAGTGGGGTATGTTCAGTCAGTTGTGGGGCTTAGGATTTTATTTTTATTTCTTACTACCTGTAGTTTTAGGTTTATAGCAGGGTCATGTATTTTTGAGAAATTATCAAATGGTTAGGAGAGTGGAGAGACTGGAAGCCATACTCATTATCAACTAAATTATTAACAGTCCGTTGTTAAGGGTGTGTGGCAGCTTCCTCAAGCCCCACTGAAACGAGCCAGCAGGATGCGTTCTTGCCGTGCAGTGGCCCAGTGGGTGCTGCCTCACTCACCTGCCTGGTCTGCTTTGTCGATGGCTAACGCTCTTTTTCCTAAGCGACACTTCTTTAGAGTTGGAGATCTCTGTGATCAGGGAATGAATGACGGGCAGGCTGAGCTTGGCCCATGCTCTCTGCGGGAGGTGTTCTGTCCGGGTTGTGCACACTCTCCTTAGGTTCACCTGAGCTTGGGCCGCCCACTTCTTTCAGTCTCAGGAAGGATCCAGGTTCCGTGTTGCACGGGGAGATGCCCAGGTTGCCCAGTTCAGCCTGGCGGTCTCTGTCTTGGGCATGTCTGTGCATTCCCCACCTGTGAACTGTCCCCTCCCTCTCTGGTTTCTGGTTGCCGTTGAGACACTCGGTAGTTCTGGAAAATTGTTGAATCCTTGGTTTTCCAGCTTTTCTATGATACCTTGTTTAGTTTACAGAGTAACTTCACATTGTTGTCGTGTCTGTCAGCACTCACATGGGGCCTGCTGCACAGCAGCGGCACGGGAAATACACTCACTGAGGGATTCAGGGCCACTGTCCCAGGGGTTTGCAGTCACAGAACTTTCACAGGCTAAAGCTCAGTCCCTTTCACAAGCACATTGTGAAGTGGAAGGAGCAGGTGTGTTTTTATTCTGCTGTTAGTGTTGCTGAGGCCTGCAGTGGGTGGAGGCTTTCCAGGGCAGAGAGCGCCTGATGGGCAAGCCACTCGGTGTTAGTGGCTGCTGTTCCTGAACCCGTGGCCCTGGGCAAGTGTCTTAACTTCGTTGTGCCTCAGTTTTCTTATTTGTAGGCTGTGTGTGGGTCATTGTGAGGTGCAGTTGAGAAATGCTAACAAAACTCACAGTGCAGTCCTGGTGTGTGATAAACACTCCCTGATTGGCAGCTCTACCGTGGCCGATGTGGTGGTGGTGCTGTCACCAACCCAGTAGCTCTCTGGGGGAGCTTTTCATGGAAACATATGCACCAAAGGGCGCACAGATGATAACGTGACACAGCTGGGTGAGTGTCCACAAACTATACATCAAGAAAGGACATGCTACCCGCTAGGAGCCGTCCTGTGCCTTCCTGACCTCTGGCAGTGCAGACCAGTGTTGCCTAATCCTGAGCTGATGTCAGTGAACCCTGTGTACTATTGCCTTTGTGTATGGCTTCTTGCATTCAACTTTTTGTGTAAGGTGCTTCTCAGAACCTTGGACTCAGACCTAGGTTTGGATGCAAATTCTACCATTTACTGCTGGTGTGATTTCTATTTTTCTGAATATCCAAGCGTAAGAGATTATTTTGCCTTCATAGGGAGAATGAGAACATTAAATTCTAATTAGATAATGCACATTAAGTGTCTAGCTGTATTGTCTGACTCATAATAAACATCCAGAAGATTTTGGCTATTTTTATGTCTCAGGCCAGTATTCTTATGGTTAGATCAAGCTCCATGTTACCGTATTGACTTTTACCCTGGATTTGCACTTTCAGAACAGCCACCCAATCTTTTCTCTCAACTGGGAGTGTGTGGTCACTTTCCTGTGGAACACAGAGGCTGCCTGTCCCATCCAGACAGCAACGGATACAGACCAGGTACGTGTGCTTTCGCCTGGCCCTCGTGCTGAGCTGCCTGATAGACATCCTCAACTCACCCCAGTGTTCCAGTTCTGAACTGACCCCTGCCCCTTCTTTCTGAATCAGTTACTGCGTTGCATTGACAGTGGGTGTCTGCAGGTCACCCTGAGTTCCTCTCCACCCCCAACTCCCAGCTCCTAGCTCCTGGGATAACAACCAGGTCCCTCAGTCTTACTCTGCCCACTGTAGTTTCCTTCCTTTTGTTTCCATTCCTTTGTTTCTCCCATGTGGCAGTGGCATCTTGGTGGGCTCTGGGGCTTCTGCACCACTGGCAGATGTCTGACTATTCGGTATGTCACTCCACACCTAAACCATCTCAGCGCCTGTCCCCTAGAGGGTAGAGCGCATATGTTTTAATGTGACCCTATCCATAGAGCACAGCCTGCAGGTGTTAATGTGATCCTGTCTATAAGGCCTGTGTGTCTCGTCTGTGCATAGGCCAGAGCCCACAGCTTACTGTGGTCTTGTCTATAGGGTGAGGCCTGTGTGTCTCACCGTGGCCCTGTGTGTAGGCCACTCGAAGCTGTGTTACTGTGCCACTCGGGGCTCTCAGTGCCTACTGTGTCCTCTGGCTCTTCCCGCCCTCTGCCCGGGTCCATGCTCTCCCCTTGTTGAGTGCACCCTGCAGGGCATAGCAGTAAGCTGCTCAGTGCCGTTCTCTCTGACCTCCCCAGGGTAGTGAGTTGTTTTCACAGCACCGTGTATATTTCTTTATGGTGGGACCTGTTTGCCACTTGCTGTTCTAAGCTACACCGCAGACTCTGGCAGCAGAGACCAGGGCTTTTCCCAACCAGCAGCCCCGGCACAGGGCCCTGGCTTTGTAAGTGCTCAGCGAGGGCAGGATGTCGGGCTCCCTGTTCATGGACAGTGTTTCTGGGTCTGTGGCCACCGCCCCCTTCCCTGCATGCAGTGGACAGAGGGAGGCCCAGGGCAAAGTTAAATACAGAGAGGAGAGGATACCATTTGACAGTCACCTGATCATACGTCCCATGATTACCTTAAGGGAGTAATTGAGACAGAAAACAGAACATGAGTTTTCTTAAGATGTTTATTTTCTTTAAGAAACTAATTTATGGGCCGGACGTGGTGGCTCACGCCTGTAATCCCAGCACTTTGGGAGGCCGAGGTGGGCAGGTCACGAGGTCAGGAGATAGAGACCATCCTGGCTAACATGGTGAAACCTTGTGTCTACTAAAAATACAAAAAATTAGCCGGGCCTGGTGGCAGGTGCCTGTAGTCCCAGCTACTCAGGAGGCTGAGGCAGGAGAATAGCGTGAACCCGGGAGGCGGAGCTGGCAGTGAGCCGAGATCGCGCCACTGCACTCCAGCCTGGGCAACAGAGCGAGACTCCATCTCCCAAAAAAAAAGAAAAAAAAAAAGAAACTAATTTATGAGTCTTACGTTTCCTCTCCAACTTTAGGGAGTAATAGTAGTCTTCTTAGAGAAATACGGTAGCCTTAACAGCTTCCAGGTGAGTGTCATCTCTGAGTCTGGGCTCACAGTTGGTATACTTTGGTGTATTTGAAGAGGCTCCATGTAGGGCTACATTTTTGATAGGGATTTTGAAAGTAAATGGAGAAACAGCTTTGTCAGGTGCGTACTTGCAGGTTTCTGGAGGTGCTGTATGTTTGTTTTGTTCCTGTGGAATTGGTTTAAATGCGCCCCTTTTCCCCCATTTTGTTTCTTGTAGGCTTGCTCTATAAAGGATCCCAACAGTGGATTTGTGTTTAATTTTAGCCCGCTAAACAGTTCGCAAGGATATGTGTTCCTCAACATTGGGAAGACTTTTGTGGTAAGAGCTATACCCTGCATTTCCAGTTTGCTTTGAAACAAGGGCAGAGTACATTATTGAAGTCACCTGCACCTGGTGATTCGGGAGACAGAATTGCCCAGGCCACTGTGGTGGCAGCTCTTAGAAGGAGATGGGAAAATCCGGATTTAAGGGAAAGATGAAGTAAAACCATTTATCACCATTCTGGCACAGTTCAGACGTGAAGACTGTTATTCTTCAAATCATAAGTTGTTCTCTTTAAAGAAATACTTCTATCTGTAGTGCTGACGGTCTCTCCTTACTGTATCTGCACACCAGAGAGCATTACTGACTTCATTTTTACAACTATAATATAATTTTTAATGGAATGATATCAAAATTTTTAAGAAATGTAGGGTACCACTTTACTTCTAATTAACATGATTTCAACAATATGTACTTTCTCATAATTGAAAATAGTATAACATTATGACTTCTGTGTCTTCCCTCTCTTATATATGGTCCATTATTATATGCACCAGATCTTATGCATTTATAGATACAGGGATGTATAAGTTTAAATGATGTATATATACTAAACCTTAGAGGCAGGTTATAGATACTGCCCTTTGGACTTCTGTACTAACTGTACTAACATGCTGGAAAGTGGAAAGTTGGTAAGTTGACTAACAGATAAGAGACGTTTAACCTAGTGGGATTTGGAGTTGCTAGGGTTCTTGTCTATGGAGATACGTGGCATAAATTTGTTTGCATGGCTCTTACCGTCTGATCTGCAGTTTAATATCTGCGGCACAATGCCTGTCTGTGGGACCATCCAGGGAAAACCTGCTTCTGGCTGTGAGGCAGAAACCCAAACTGAAGATCCCCAGAATCTGAAGCCAGAAAGGGCGGTCGGAATTGAGAAAAGCCTCCAGCTGTCTACAGAGGGCTTCATCACTCTAACCTACAAAGGGCCTGTCTCTGCCAAAGGTGAGCTCAGAGCCATGTTGTTTTGTAGCTAAAAAGGGCCCTGGTGGCTCTGTGGCTGGATGTGCACACTCCCCTGTCACCATGGGCTGTGCTGTCCACCTTGCTGCAGGAGCCACCACGTTGGTCTTCCAGCGTTTGACCTCGCATACAGGAGTTGCATTATCTGCGGGTTCACTTTCTGTGATCTCACATGGTCCCAAAACAGTAAGGTATTTTGAGAGAAAGAATGAGAGAGACCACATTCACGTAACTTTCATTACAAGTGTTGTTACAGTTGTTCTGTTTTATTGTTAATCTCTTGCTGTGCCTGACTTACATATTGAACTTCATCCTTGGTATGTATGTATAGGAAACAGCGTAGTATATGTAGGGTTCTCAATTTCAGGCATTCACTGTGGGTCTCGGAACATATCCCCCCACAGATGAGGGGGGCTGCTGTAGCCCGTATTCAACACAGCGGTCAGAGTGATGTTTCTGAAATGTCTCATCATATGACTTCCCAGCTCAGAACCCTCGGAGGCCCTGTACTGCACCTAGAGTAGAAGCCAGCGTCCATAGGACAGCCATGGCACACCCATGGGGGCTCTCTGAGATGATCACCCCCTGCTCTTCCCGCTCAACCTGCTGGCCTCACTGTTTCTGATATGGACGAAGTGCAGTCTCCCCCACCCGCCCCTCCTGAGTCTTTGGACTTGCTGCTCGCTCTGCAACCAGCACAGCTGCGGGCAGGGGTTTCCGTATGCTTCATTCATTCCTATACGTGGTGGGAACTTAGTATTTGTTCAGTAAGCCAACAAATTAGAGTTACATTGTCTTCTGTTGCTTGGATTGATAAACTCGTGGGATTTAAATGTTTTCTAAAAGAGTAGGAATGCTAGGATGTTAGGCTCATGGTAGAAATCCGTCATAACGTAGGCCACCATTGCAGTGTGTGAACCTGTCATCACATAGGCCACTGTTGCAGTGAGTGTGTAAAGCTTTCGTAACATAGGCCACCATTGCAGCGAGTGTGTAAACCTGTCATAACATAGGCCACTGTTGCAGTCAATGTTTAAGCCTGTCGTAATATAGGCCACCGTTGCAGCGAGTGTGGCCACTCTGTTCATGTCAAGTCCCTCGATACAGACTTGATGCCCTGGTGTCATTGTTCCCACGAACGGCTGTGAAGCTTGTTGCCAGTGGTGGCCTTGTCCTGTTGCTACACTGTGCTTGTGGGCTGTGTCACGAATACTCTTCTGTTTCTTAAAACCTGGGCCTTCTTGCTTTACAGGTTCTGCTGATGCTTTTATCATCCGCTTTGTTTGCAATGATAGTGTTTACCCAGCAACCTCCAAATTCCTGCATCAAGACATCGACTCTGGGCAAGGGATCCGAAACACTTACTTTGAGATTGAAACTGCGTTGGCCTGCGTTCCTTCTCCAGTGGACTGCCAAGTCACTGGTAAGGCTGTGCAGCCTAAGAACTGAGAGGCCGGTCAAGAGTCAGTGTGTGCGTGAGTGGATGTGAAGGTGTGTTTCTGTGTGTGTATATTTGTGTGTGTGTGGTGTGTATGCTTGGTTTTGCAGGCAGTGTGACATTTCTGTTATATGTTTTCTTTGAATGATGCCTAGAGTTGTAATGTTTTTCTTGAAGAGAATCTGACTGTATAGTTAAGTTTTAAGCTATCTTTTGGGATCAGATGCATCTTAACACAGAAGAAAACGCAGAGGAAACACATTTCACATACACTGTCAGAGCTGCTTATTTGGGGATGAAAAGAAAAGAAAAAAATGTTAAAACTCCCTAAGCTGTGCCCTGGAAGCTGACAGTGTATGCAGGAGACCGTGACCTCTGGGGTTGGCCCTGCCCCCTCTGCAGCAGTGGTATTTCCTTGTCAATGGAAGTGGGGGTTTGGTTTTTTCTTTAAAGAGTCTTTAGGGTCTCACTGTGTTACCCAGGCTGGCCTTGAACTCCTGGTCCTAAGTGATCCTCCTGCCTCAGCCTCCGAAGTAGCTGGGACTACAGGCGCATGCCACCAGACCCGGCTGTGAAGGGCAGTTTTGAGGGACAGAGCGGGCGTGTTTTGTAGGCAAAGCCTCTCAGCCTCCTGTGGATTTCCTTATTCTCATAGTTAGGAATGCCAGCTTCATGCCGCCTCAGTGCTTATTTAGGGTGAAAGGCTGTTCTTGAGAGCTCACAAGGAGGCAGAGTTCTCCAGCGTGGTTTTTTGTTGTTTCAGACCTGGCTGGAAATGAGTACGACCTGAGTGGCCTAAGCATAGTCAGGAAGCCTTGGACGGCTGTTGACACCTCTGTCGATGGGAGAAGGAGGACCTTCTATTTGAGCGTTTGCAGTCCTCTCCCTAACATTCCTGGATGCCATGGTGAGTTCTGCTTGGTCTCTTGATTGGCGTCTGTTCATATTGTTAGAGCATTTGACTCAAGGTCATTGCCTTCCTCATGCCTAAACCGTTAATTCTGTTCTTCCAGGCAGTGCAATGGGGTCTTGCTTAGTGTCAGAAGTCAATAGCTGGAACCTGGGTGTGGTGCAGATGAGTCCCCAGGCTGCGGCGAATGGATCTTTGAGCATCATGTATGTCAACGGTGACAAGTGTGGGAACCAGCGCTTCTCCACCAGGATCACGTTTGAGTGTGCTCAGATATCGGTGTGTGTTCAGACCAGCGATGACATGTTGTCCCTGGGTCACTCCATTTCCCATTTCCCTTGAACCTCTGAATCTTCCAGCTTGTTTAAAACTTGCCTGCGTTTTCATGGAGTTTCGGCCATTGCTGGGGTTTGACGAGAATGCAGTCATTTCTTCAGGTCTTACATGTTTAATAAATGCTATGTAGTTTGCACATGGAGGTCAAAGATTGGGTACTAACTGTGGCTATCATGTATTTAATTTTTTTTTTTTGAGATGGAGTCTCACTCTGTCACCCAAGCTGGAGTGCAGTGGTGCAATCTTGACTCACTGCAAGCTCTGCCCCCCAGGTTCAAGTGATTCTCCTGCCTCAGCCTCCCGAGTAGCTGGGATTACAGGCACCTGCCACTGCGCCCAGCTAATTTTTGTATTTTTAGTAGAGACGGGGTTTCACCATCTTGGCCAGGCTGGTCTTGAACTCCTGAACTTGTGATCCACCAGCCTCGGCCTCCCAAAGTGCTATGATTACAGGCGTGAGCCCCCATGCCCAGCCCCATTTGATTAATTTTTAAAATAAATGGAAACAAATCAGGCCGCTGATTTATATTACAGGGCTCACCAACGTTTCAGCTTCAGGATGGCTGTGAGTACGTGTTTATCTGGAGAACTGTGGAAGCCTGTCCCGTTGTCAGAGTGGAAGGTAGGACTGGGCCTGTCCCTATGAGTCATTTTAAATGTAAAGAGTAGCAGACGTTCTGAACGATGCCTTAGATATGAGACCATGTGGTAATGGCCATAGCTGGGGTCATGAGACACACGCTGGGGGTGGATAATTTCTCATCCTTGAGGTTTTCTTTTTACTGAAGCACATTGCTAATTTCACCAGTGACATTTTTCTTGTATGCTTGGATCGATGGGTTTTTGGCATCTGATGCTTGAAGACACTAATGTGGGGTTTGGTTTTGTGTTTGATGAAGCAAGTCTTTTTTCAGGGACCTAGACTTTCCTAGAAAGCTGTTTGCCTGGCGAGTTGTATTATATAATAACAAAATCATGTGAAAATGGCTTTTAATGCCCATTTATAGCTGGAAGTTACCTAACCAAAATTGTAAAACTTTTTTTTTTTTTTTTTGAGACGGAGTTTTGCTCTGTTGCCAGGCTGGAGTGTAACGGCACCATCTTGGCTCACTGCAACCTCTGCCTCTTGGGTTCAAGCTATTCTCCTGCCTCAGCCTCCTGAGTAGCTGGGACTACAGGGCACCCACCACCATGCCCAGCTAATTTTTATATTTTTAGTAGAGACGGGGTTTCACCCTGTTGGCCAGGATGGTCTAGATCTCTTGACCTCGTGATCCGCCCGTCTCAGCCTCCCAAAGTGCTGGGATTACAGGCGTGAGCCAGTGCGCCTGGTGGTTTGTAAAGCTTTTTGCTTGAAAATATGAATGCGTGTGTGGTTGCAGTGGCCCTTCACTTCTTCCATGTTCTTGAAGGAGACAACTGTGAGGTGAAAGACCCAAGGCATGGCAACTTGTATGACCTGAAGCCCCTGGGCCTCAACGACACCATCGTGAGTGCCGGCGAATACACCTATTACTTCCGGGTCTGTGGGAAGCTTTCCTCAGACGTCTGCCCCACAAGTGACAAATCCAGGGTGGTCTCCTCCTGTCAGGAAAAGCGGGAACCGCAGGGATTTCACAAAGTGGCAGGTACCATTGTTTGTCCTTTTCCTTTTGTTGCAAAGGAATGTAATTAAAGTATTTTGCTACAGATGAATTTTCCCTTGAGTCAGAAACATGAGTGTTCTACTGTTAAAAAAAAAAAAAAAAAAAAGGAATATTAATGATATTTCAGATTTTGCTTGATTTTCTTAATCGGAGTGCATACTGAAGGATGTTGGTAGAACATGTCTGTTTTATTCTTAGCCATGCCAGTGACTGACTCTAAGGTCATATTTCTTTTCTTTCTGACAACATCGGGACACAGTGAGCTAGCCAGTGATGGATGTTCTGAGGTAGTACTTGATAGCATTGCGTCAGAGGGAATGCATTTAGTATGAGGTTTGGCTGTAAAAATTACAGGGCAGGCTGTTGGTCCTTCATACTGTTTCAGCAGTTGGGCAAGATTTAAATACATTTAGGAAATTGTAAAAATGAAGTCAAAGTAGCTGGTGGTGAGTACATGGACAGCCCTCAGGCACAGTGGAGAAAGTGGCATTCCCTTAGGTGATGAGGCTAAGGAATGCCCCATGTCATCATACACAGTTCAGTCTGTGACGTTGCAGCAGCCTTGGACAAGGGGAAGCCTGATTTTATTCCCAAAGTGTAATGTGACAGGAGTGCACGGTACGGTGCTGGGAGGCCAGGATACTTTGTCCCAGACTCTTCAGAGTGTGGTGTCACATGTCTTAGGCTAAGTTTGACAGCCTAGGGACCTGAACCAAACCTTGTTTAACATCCTCCTTCTTTACAGGTCTCCTGACTCAGAAGCTAACTTACGAAAATGGCTTGTTAAAAATGAACTTCACTGGGGGGGACACTTGCCATAAGGTTTATCAGCGCTCCACAACCATCTTCTTCTACTGTGACCGCAGCACCCAGCAGGTGAGCATGTACCAACGGCCCTCAGCGGGGTCTTCTCCCCACCCTCAGGCTGCTGGGATCATATTAGAAAGAATCTGTCCTCAGATCTAATCACGTCTTCTGGTTAGCTGAGTTTAAAATTCCATTTACAGAAAATATGTTGAAACTTTCATCAGTTAGTGTAGTATTTTCATGAACATAACCATTCTTTACTATTTTCATTCTTAAAGCATAAACTAAAGTTTTGCATTCTCACTTTTATATATGTGCCTCTTAACTTTTTTAGCCAGTGTTTCTAAAGGAGACTTCAGATTGTTCCTACTTGTTTGAGTGGCGAACGCAGTATGCCTGCCCACCTTTCGATGTGACTGAATGTTCATTCAAGTAAGTCAATGGATACGTTGTCTCTTTTAGACAGACTAACTTGGTATGATTTTGCTTTAATAATTAGTGATCTTGGGTACAGGGGATTAGGTTAGTCAGTTGATTTACCTAGGGCTCGGTTTGCTCATATTAAAACGAGGAGTTGGGCTAGGTTAACTCTCAGCTCCATCACCACCTTGAGCTGCTGTGGTGACTGCATGGGGAAGGGATTGGAGCCGAAGCAAAGAGTGGATACTGGCACTCTTGTGTGATCCATGTGTCAGTGAGCAAAGTGGGCCAGGAGCAGTGTGGTTACCCCTGCGATGAAGGGAGGTCTTTGTTGCATGTGATCGTCCATAGAGCTGCTCTCACAGCTTTGCCAGATCGCCCTCTGGACACCTGGGGTCCCATCCTTAGAGATTTTGGTTCTGTGGGTCTCCGGTTCTAATTTTTGGAGGGATGCCCTGGCAATTCCGCTCTGAAACACCCAGTAAGAGCCCCTTGGTCACAGTTGACTTTCCTGGGGGAAAGTGCAGGCGATTCTCTTTCCTTCCAGCCTTTGTCCTGTTGTGTCATCTGTTATTTATGTAGGTGAAATAATCATTTAGGTTTTAGGAATGTATGTAAATGCAGGCATTTAGTAATTTATGTTCAATGACTTTAAATCATAATTTTAGTAACCTTACCTTTTCCAGTTAACATTTTGTAAATATTTTCGTGTGAAACTAATTTGTTTCTCATTTCTACTGGATGGGAAATGTTCTCAGTAGATATCCCCGGTTCACTTAGCAGTTCTCTTTCTGCCATTTGAGGCTGCCTTCAGTTTTCTGGTATTTATATTCAAGGAATAAAACTTTGATTTTCTTTGCACATAAAGCTTTTTTCCTAAAAATACATATATATCTTTCCTAAAGATATGTGTGTGTGTATATATATTTGTGTGTGTGTATGTATATATGTATGTATTTTTTTTGAGATGGAGTCTTGCTCTGCCACCCAGGCTGGAGTGCAGTGGCGTGATCTTGGCTCACTGCACCCTCCACCTACCTGGTTCAAGCAGTTCTCCTGTTTTAGCATCCTTGGTAGCTGGGATTATGGACACCACCATGCCTGGCTAATTTTTATGTTTTTTTTTTTTTTTTTTTTCCGAGACAGAGTCTCGCACTGTTGCCCAGGCTGGAGTGCAGTGGCGCGATCTTGGCTCACCGCAATCTCTACCTCCCAGGTTCAAATGATTCTCCTGCCTCAACCTCCCAAGTAGCTGGGATTACAGGTGCCCGCCACCACACCCGGCTAATTTTTTTGTATTTTTAGTAGAGATGGGGTTTCACCATGTTGGCCAGGCTGGTCTTGAACTTCTGACCTCAGGTGATCCTCTGCCTGCCTTGGCCTCCCAAAGTGCTGGGATTATACGTGTGAGCCACTGCGCTGGCCTATTTTTTGTATTTTTAGTAGAGACGGGGTTTCACCATGTTGGCCAGGCCAGTCTTGAACTTCTGACCTCAGGTGATCCTCTGCTTGCCTTGGCCTCCCAAAGTGCTGGGATTATAGGTGTGAGCCACTGTGCCCAGACTTCCTAAAGATATTTTTATGCTAAGTTTTTAAAAGTAGAATTAAGTCAGAGGAGAATTTTATAATCTCTTACACTAAAAAATAATACATGTCTATTGTAATTGAGAGTCCAAAAATATTAATAGATGAAATTACTCTCCCCCACCTCTCCCTCTCCTACCCCTAGCTTCACTCCACTTTCTTTTTTTTTTTTTTTTTTTTTTTTTTTTTTTTTTTTGGAGACAGAGTCTTGCTCTGTCGCCAGGGCTAGGTGCAGTGGCCGAGGTCTCAGCTCACTGCAAGCTCCGCCTCCCAGGTTATGCCATTCTCCTGCCTCAGCCTCACGTGTAGCTGGGACTACAGGCGCCCGCTACCTCGCCCAGCTAGTTTTTTGTATTTTTTTTTTTTAGTAGAGACGGGGTTTCACAGTGTTAGCCAGGATAGTCTCGATCTCCTGACCTCGTGATCCACCCGTCTCGGCCTCCCAAAGTGCTGGGATTACAGGCTTGAGCCACCGCACCCGGCCGCTTCACTCCACTTTCTACCATTTCTTCTTGTGGTTCTTTTTGAAACCTTCTATAACTCTAAACCTCTGTTTGTCCCAGCTTCTAATAGGTCTGTTGACTCTCTTTTAAGCAGTGGCTTCTCCTCACCTGCACTATTCTCCTCTCCTCTTTCCTTTGCCTTGATTTTGTTAGTTCTCTTTTACTTCTTCTACTGACTACTTTTCGGCATTTGTTGATATTCACTAAGCTCTGTTCTTGCCCCATCACCTTCAGACAGCTTTCCCTTCCTGCCACCTGCCCTGGTTTGAAATCTACCCTCCTTCTCTTAGCCCAACACCCAGTACCATCTATACCTCCAGTCTCTCCCGTGCCTTGTCCACACGTTTATTAATCACACAGTAATCAGAGTGATCCTCTTGAGATAAAAGTCCCACCATGTATCGCTCTTGCACAGAACCTTGAGATGCAGTGAGCGCCCATCTCACTGGGACCACAGGCTGAAGTTCTTCCTCTGTGGACGCAGCCTCCGTACCTCTAACCTCACTTTCCCTCTGTTCCAGCCACTCGGAGCTTCTGCCACGCTCTCAGGTCGCGCCCAGGCTTGTGTGCACACCGGGCCTTTGCTCGTGCTGCTGTCTGCCTGGGATGCTCTTTGCACAGGTGCCGGGATGGTCAGTGATTCCCATTTCTCTCCAATAGTCTAGTCACAGGTCACTCTGCTCGGTCACGCCTTCTCTAAAATTTCAACAGCTGCTTTCCTCTGCCCCACAAACTTCATATCCCCCTCCTCTGCCTTTTTTTCTTCAGGTCCTAATTCCATCAAATACACCTGTATTTTAAAAGTACCTTGTTCACAGTCATTTTCTTCCCACGAGTAATTTTGTATGAATTTTGTAAGATTGATGATGTTTATCTGTTTCATTCAACACAGTACCCCTTTGGTTTAGCGCACAGCTTTTGAATGAATGGCCAGTTTTCATTCCCGTCTGAAGCACTGAGAGCTGCCACTGAGGTGGCACCTGTAGCTGCTCCCGTCCCTGCTCCGTGTTGGCAGAGTGTGTGTCTCGCTCACTGTCATTACTCGCCTGGCATGGGCTTGGTTCCCAGTTAATGTCTGTATTTGGGATTTGTGTAGTTGGTGAACCTTTGGCCTGTGCAGACAGGTCAGCAAGCCATTTTAATTTTAGGAATTGCCACGCTGACCTTGGTTTTAAACAGAGTGGCCTCACGGCCGCCACCGAGCATGACCCCGCTGTGTGTGCTCAAGCATCTTGGCTGCTGGCCTTTGCCAAGCGAGTTCCACTTCTCAGTGGCCTGAGCACAGGCGACACTTTTGCAGACTTGGGTTTTCTGTTAAAATTAAAATTTTTTTAAGTAGGCCTAATAGTTTCCTGAACTGTTATGTTCAGGAAAGTTATGTTGTTGCTGATTCTGTTCTGGGGTGTGTGTGTGTGTGTGTGTGTGAGAGAGAGAGAAGTCAGTCTAAAGTTCTGTCAGGCTTAGACTGTGCCTGAATACTTGAACCTTTCTAGACCAAGAGTGCCCGGTGTTTAACTAGAATCGACCAAGCCTCACTAACTGCAGGGTTGTCTTCTTTTCAGAGATCGGACTGTAGCTCTTGACCTCTCATCCTGTCAGGTACAGTGAGAACTGAGAGCCATCACTGCGGCGACGGAGACCGGGAGCACTACCTCATCAATGTCTGCAAGTCTCTGGCCCCGCATGGCGGCTGCACTGGTGAGAAGAGGGCTCCTCGTGGGGTGGGTGTTCTTGATAAATGTCGAAGGCTGGCACTGGCAAGAGGGAGCCGTCGTGAGGTGGTGGTTGTAGTGGCAATGAGTGTATCGAAGGCTGGCACTGGCGAGAGAGGGCCTCCTTGTGGGTGGTGGTTGTAGTGAGCGTATCGAAGACTGGCGCTGGTGAGAGGAGGAGCCTCCTGAAGTGGGTGGTGGTTGTAGTGAGTGTGTCGAGAGGCTGGCACTGGCGAGAGAGGGCTCCTCGTGGGTGGTGGTTGCAGTGGCAAGTGTATTGAGGCTGGGCGCTGGTGAGAGAGGCCTCCTCGTGGGTGGTGGTTGTGGTGGCGTATGAAGAGGCTGGCACTGGCGAGGAGCCTCTTCATGGGGTGGTGGCTTGTCATGGGTTTTATCGGGGAGGTCAAGTAGGGTGGGGATTCTTTGGAGACACTTCACTCTCTGCAGCATGGGTGGTTTGGTCAAGAAGCAGCAGGACGAAGAATGATTTAAGGGTCTTAACAATTGATCCTATATTATGGCCCAGGATAAATCAGTGCTGAGGACTGCTGGGACATGATAACCCTTTCTGAACATGAGAGACGGAGGTATAATAGATAGAAATAATAACCGTGGTGAGGAATCTGTCTTAGCAGGTAGGAGATGGGGAGTGTAGTGTGGAGGTCCTGGTGTGTGCCTGTGTTATGTTGGGAGTTGTATGGTGCGGTCCTTTGGCAGTGCGGGGACAGCTCACCCCAGACCTGCAGTCTTGGCTGAGACTGGATGTCATTTGTGCACTGGCGCTGGTGAGAGAGGCCTCCTCGTGGGTGGTGGTTGTAGTGAGCGTATCGAAGGCTGGCACTGGCGAGAGAGGGCCTCTTCATGGGGTGGTGGCTTGTCATGAGTTTATCGGGGAAGGTCAAGTAGGGTGGGGATTCTTTGGAGGCACTTCACTCTCTGCAGCATGGACGTGGTTTGGTCAAGAAGCAGCAGGACGAAGAATGATTTAAGGGTCTTAACAATTGATCCCTAGTATGGCCCAGGATAAATCAGTGCTGAGGACTGCTGGGAACATGATAACCCTTTCTGAACATGAGGAGACGGAGGTATAATAGATAGAAATAATAACCGTGGTGAGGAATCTGTCTTAGCAGGTAGGAGATGGGGGGTGTGATGTGGAGGTCCTGGTGTGTGCCTGTGTTATGTTGAGAGTTGTATGGTCGGTCCTTTTGTGATGCGGGGACAGCTCACCCAAACCTGCAGTGCTTGGCTGAGACTGGATGTCAGCTGTACATGGGAAACCAAGGGCACCTCCAGGGATCTTGGTACCAATCATGGCCCCTTGGAATCCTGATGGTGAAACTCATCGATGTTCGTGGCATTTCATACAGCCCCGCCTGCATCTTGGGTGGCTCACCTCAAAGGGGGTGTGGCTATTTTTAGCTGTAGCAGGTGGTTCCATCCTCTGCGTGGTTTGAGGCTGTGGTTCCACTTCCCCTTGCTGTGTTGTGCTGTGCAGACTTCGACACAGCGGCTGTACCCCCATGGCGTGGGACTAGTTCTTCACCCAGGGCACATGGCACAGGCATTTTAGGGACTGGGAAACAGGCAGAATTCTTGGTCTCTTCTTGAATAAAGAAGGTGCATGGATGTAGGCCATTTAAAATGTTCCTCTGGCTTAATTTGGGAATTTGAGCTTCATCCTCTATGGGGTTCCGAAAGAATTTCGGCTGCTACAGCCTAACTATCCCTCTACACCTCACATCCACCTGCCCCAGTCCATCTGTGACAGAACAGCATGTAAGTGAGTGAGAAGTAACGTGATGTCATTGTCATCTGACTTATGTGAAAGAAATAGCAGGTATTTTGGAGTGACTCTTAGAAAGCGTATGAAGTTCTGCAGCATGTGTGACATTTCTTGCCTGATGAAGTTCTGTTCTAGCCTGGGGAGTCACTAAAGGCAACTCTTTCTTGTGTCTGGTGTTGCAGAGCCATGCCCTCCAGAAGCAGCCGCGTGTCTGCTGGGTAGCTCCAAGCCCGTGAACCTCGGCAGGGTAAGGGACGGACCTCAGTGGAGAGATGGCGTAATTGTCCTGAAATACGTCGATGGCGACTTATGTCCAGACGGGATTCGGAAAAAGTCAACCACCATCCGATTCACCTGCAACGAGAACCAGGTGGTAAGGGACTGTTCCTGTGCCTTCTGCTGTTGCAGCTTTGGGATTTGGGGCCCTGTGCAGGGCAGTGAGCCCCACGTCCTCATCTGCCCTGGGACGTGAGTTCTAGAGCCTGGGATGATGCCCCCTTACCAGAGGCTGGGGAAACAGCATGGCCGCGGCCTGCAGTCTGGGGAACCCTCGTGCTGTCTGGCTCCTTAGAAGCTTGCCTGGCAGTTTCTGACTCAGAATAGGTTCTCTTCAGAGTTGGACTCAGACCCCGCGAAGGCTGTGGGCGAGACTGTTGTTTGACTACATGCCCTTTGTCTTCACGGCGGCAGGTTGGGACGCACGAGAAGGTTGGCTGGGCGAGGTCACAGGTAGCACTGCCACCTCCCAGCCACGTAACTTGGTTAATTACTCAGGTAGTGTGCACTGCTCCCTCATTCATAACATGAGGTATACTTGTATTGCCCGTTGCGGGGTTTCAAGAGAAGAGGTAGGAAGTGCCAGGTGTCATTTCTGACACACGGGAGGTGCACAGTCAGTGAGCATGAGTGCCTGTCATCAGTTCTTCCCTTGTTTGGCATGCATGTCAGCAGGGTGTCGACGGCACACTGGTTTCTCTGTGTGTGTGATTGTGGTAAGCCCCAGTGCTAGCGTGCACGACGAGCTCGGTGGCTGAGTTGGGGATTAACTTGGGCAGGACCAGCCCGCTGGGTGTCAGGGTGGCTCGCCCCATGCTCTCCAGGGTGGGCAGCAGTAGTAGAGGAGCTTGGGATGGGAGTGCTCCAGGAGCTTCAGGCCTGCCCTCTTGCCTGGAGCGGCAGGGAAGTTTCCTCCTGGGAAGACTGTGCAGAGGCTTAGGCCAGACTCATGAGCTGCTGGGGCCCCTGAGCATTCTCCTCTCTGATGTGAGAGGCTCAAAGCTGAGGACAAAAGGGCTGCCCCACGTGTGGAGGACAAAGGTAAGAGGTTGTATGGGGCCCCTGTGCCCAGGGCCCAGAAGGCTGGGAGGGAAGGGTGAGGGTGGTGTGTGAGTTCCCCATGTCCACATCCCAGGAGGCTGGGAGGGAAGGACGAGGGTGTTGTGTGGGGGCCCCTGTGCCCAGGACCCAGGAGGCTGGGAGGGAAGGGTGAGGGCCATGTGGGGTCTCTGCGCCCAGGACCCAGGCTAGGGGGAAAGAGTGAGGTGCGTGGGGGCCCTGTGCCCGGAGCCCAGGAGGTTGGGAGGGAAGGATAGAGGTTGGTGTGTCGTGTCCCTGTGCTGGATCGGGAGGCTGGGAGGAAGGATGGGGGTGGTATGTGGGGAGACCCCTGTACCCAGAACCCAGGAGGCTGGGAGGGAAGGCTGGGGGGTGTGTACAGGAGGCCCCTGTGCCCAGGACCCAGGAGGCTGGGAGGGAAGGTTGGGTGGTATGTGGGGGCCCCTGTGCCCAGGACCCAGAGGCTGGGAGGAAGGTCGCTGGGAGGGAAGGATGAGGGTGGTATGTGGGGGCCCCTGTGCCCAGAACCCAGGAGGCTGGGAACGTAGGGTGGGGGGTGTGTGGGGGCCCCTGTGCCCAGGATCCAGGAGGCTGGGAGGGTAGGGTAGGGGGTGTGTGGGGGCCCTGTGCCCAGGGCCCAGGAGGCTGGGAGGGTAGGGTGGGGGGAGGGGGGGGCCCCTGTGCCCAGGAGCCAGGAGGGGGGGGGGGGGGGGTGGGGGAGTGGGGGCCCCTGTGCCCAGGATCCAGGAGACTGGGAGGGAAGTGTAGAGGGTGTGTGGGGGCCCCTGGGCCCAGGATCCAGGGGGCTGGGAGGGAAGGGTGAAGGGTGTGTGGAGGCCCCTGTGCCAGGGCCTGGGAGGCTGGACTGCAGTGTGACTTATCAGGGTGCCCAGCAGGAATCATGGGGTTTACCTGGGAAGGAAGGTGCTGCTGAACTCATCAGGCCAGCTCTGCGGTGGACATGAAGTATTTTGGGATGAGCAGCGTGAGCCTTGGCCGGGGCCAGTGGGAGGATGCGTAGGATCAGCTAGTTCTCTTGGTGGATCTTTTTGCTTTGACTGTGATAATGGATTTTACCTGATTTGGTTTTTAGAATTTTATCAGTGATTGCCACATTTGTGTCTCCCGGTAGCCCTTCTAGCATTCTTTGCACGCCTGTCCCCAACCCCTGTCCTGTTCCTCAGCCTGAGGGACCTTCCTGGTCCCCTAAGTGGGTTGCTGCCTATGCGTGTTTCACTTACCTGCAGGGGAAGCCCATGATGGCCGCTCAGGACACATTCTGACCCTTTGCTTTTCCCAGTCTGCGCCTCATCCCACAGGCACATGGAGACAGAAATGTCACATGCTGTGGAGTTTTTCAGAGAAACCTCCACTTGTAAGCTGAAATCATGATAGACGTGGAATTTTTGCGTGATCCCTTCAGGACCTGTCTGTGCTTTGTTGTAGAACTCCAGGCCCATGTTCATCAGCGCCGTGGAGGACTGTGAGTACACCTTCGCCTGGCCCACGGCCACAGCCTGTCCTGTGCAGAACAATGAGCATGACGACTGCCAGGTCACCAACCCAAGCACAGGTGAGTGGTGCCAGTCGCTAACCCCAGCGCAGGTAAGAGACGGTGCCCTCACCAAACCCAGCTCATCAGGGGAGAGACTTAAAGAGAAGCTGTGGGCAGCAGGCGCCCTGGGCAGAGGTGTCGTGGTGTGTAGGTGTGTTTGGCCTTTCTCTGGATGGGCCGCTGTGTGTTCTCCTGGCTCTCCTTCAGTGGAGGAGAGAATGTTCCCTCAGAGAATCCATCTCCCCTGTCACTCTCCTGGTGTGAGAGGTGCTCCTGGCTGGGGTTACTGACTGTGTCAGCCCAGCAGCTCTAGGCTCACTAGGGCAGGCTAGAGCTGGCCCCTGGTTGCCTTTCAGCATCAGCATAGTGGATTGCCAGGAGTCTCCCACCTGCCTTTATGCTGGGCACCCAGAAAGGCACAGGCACAGTCCATTGGCAGCAAGAGGTGCGCTGGCAGCCTCTCCCCATGCCCACGGGAATCTCAGTGGCTGCTGTGGTATGGCCCAGCAGAGGGTGCTGTGAGCCACGATCTTTTCAGCTAAAGATGGCACATCTCATGGATCAAGGGACTGACAGTCTCATGATACAGCCTGGCTGTTGGTGGAGGATTTAGGACAGGGGTCGTGGTGAGAAGTCAGAAGTCCCAATGCTGGCATAATCTGCACATGAGCTTGCCGATGATGAGCCTCCCAAATCTCAGCTCTCTGAAGTCACTGTGTCCCCATCTTCTTCCACCCTTCAGGACACCTGTTTGATCTGACCTCCTTAAGTGGAAGGGCGGGATTCACAGCTGCTTACAGCGAGAAGGGGCTGGTCTACATGAGCATCTGTGGGGAGAATGAAAACTGCCCTCCTGGCGTGGGTGAGTGCTGTGTTCTCTCGTGTGCTGTCTGACTCTCCTGTCCTCCAGGGTTGTCCTCGGCCTCTTTGCATGCCGACGGCAAAAAGGATGAGCAGAGCCAGGAAGCTGAGACGCTTTCGTCTCCTGCAGCAGTCAGCGCGTGTGGGGGACACATGGCCGTGTGGTGGAACGAACGTTCAATGTAAAACAATGGTTAAAGCCAGATTGGACACTTGAAGTTACAAGTGCCGGCTATGAAATTGATGGTCCTGATTTGCAGAAAGTTCTCATCAGAAAATTGGTCATTGAGTCTGTGATTGTGTTTTCTCTGCCTTTCCTTTGTGGTGCAGGCGCCTGCTTTGGACAGACCAGGATCAGCGTGGGCAAGGCCAGCAAGAGGCTGAGATACGTGGACCAGGTCCTGCAGCTGGTGTACAAGGACGGGTCCCCTTGTCCCTCCAAATCCGGCCTGAGCTATAAGAGCGTGATCAGTTTCGTGTGCAGGCCTGAGGCCGGGCCAACCAATAGGCCCATGCTTATCTCCCTGGACAAGCAGACGTGCACTCTCTTCTTCTCCTGGCACACGCCGCTGGCCTGCGAGCAAGCGGTGAGTTTTCAGATGGGCACGGGAGAAGTGCATGTTCAGTGCCCGGCTGTACCCAGGCCCCTTCATGAGCTTCACTTGCCCACTAGTAGATGCCCAGCTGACCTGTGCACTCCTGATCGCCCCAGTAATAGAGTTGACTGGAAGTGCCCAGTCCTATGTAATGAAGCGTTTTGACACCTTTCTTTTTTTGTCGTTGTTATTCAGCTTTTAAATTCGTATGGATGACCTAGTGGTGATTAGGAAAATTTTTTTGTAGACTCAAAGCAGTCTTTCCTACTTAACAGACGGAATGTTCCGTGAGGAATGGAAGCTCTATTGTTGACTTGTCTCCTCTCATTCATCGCACGGGTGGTTACGAGGCTTATGATGAGAGTGAGGATGACGGCTCCGATACCAACCCTGATTTCTACATCAATATTTGTCAGCCACTAAATCCCATGCACGGAGTGCCTTGTCCTGCTGGAGCCGCTGTGTGCAAAGTTCCTATTGATGGTCCCCCCATAGTAAGTACGACAAATCCAGGGGTGGAGATAATTTTTGCAAGAGTTTTAGTGATAACCTTTGCATTGTTTCTTGCCTTAAGTGGAGAGTTGCTCAAGCATAAAAAAATGGAGAAAGTAAGTGGAACTATGTGTGTTCTGGGTCTGCTACAGGAAGATTAAAGGTTTGCACGTTGAACTATCAGCTGATGATGGTAGCCAGTCGTTGAGCATGGGAGATAACATGAATATGTGTGTAGGGACTCTACCTGTCATGAGCCGCAGGGTTGACCCAAATCAAGAAGTTTTTAGGTAAAGTGACAGGAAAGCACATTGGCTTAGCGTGGTTTCTTTGTATGAAATGCCTTGTCTTCTGCAGTTAAAACGCGTGTGAAATGCAAACAGTTTCTTTGGCAAGGAGTTATAATTAAGGGCAAGAGTACGTTTGCTAATAGCTAAATATTTTGCCTTGAAAGCTTTGGTTTTATGCATTAAAAAATTATTTTGTAGAGATGGGTGTATTGCTATGTTGCCCAGCGAGGCTGGCCTCAGGCTCCTGGCCTTAAGTGATCCTCCTAAAGTGCTGGGATTACAGGCGTGAGCCACAGTGCCCGGCTTGCTAGCATGTTTTAATGGAAATTTGGATCTTTAAAAATTGTCTCCATGAGTTATATTCATATTTTGTCAAATCCTTGGTATGTTTTAATACTTGAATGTGTCTCACAAGTCATCTGTATTTCTATCTGTATCATCTATTATGCTTTAAAGATGTAAAATATATTGTAAAATATCTGGATGCCCTTTAAAAGATGGACATTATATGTGGCAGTGATATGGGGAGATGTCAGGAGTGAGTAAGGAGATCGGCCACAGCGTGAATTAGCACAGCTCCAGCTCTGTGTGAGACAGAGGCCTGACAAGCTGACTCTCCCCAGGAAGCTCTTTGGTAGTGTCCTTTCTGACAGCGCAGACTGGGGATCCTCGATCGGGAATCATTTCCTCAGAGGTCCAGTCTGCGTGGCCACCGGCTGTCAAATGTTAAAAGGCGTAGAAAGTTCTTTGACTGGAGAAGGTGTGGTGCCACGTGGTCTGAACGTGCCCCACAGTGGTGAATGAAGAGCACTGTAGCTGAGAACAAAATCATGGGGGGCTGCTTACACACACTCACACCCACGTGCACACGCGCGCACGCATACACACATTCATCACATCCACCATTCCTGGCCATTCACCTTTATTTACCTTTTAAAAATAAAAAAAGTTTTTTTTTTCTCATAATACTCAGACTGGTCTTTCGTTTATTTGTTTATTCACTCAAAAATATCTATTGGGCAGCCACTGTGTGCCAGGTGCTGTGCTAAGCAATAAAAATGAACAGTGAACACCACCAGTCCTCTCTCCCAAGGGCATAGCCAATGGGTACTGCTGGGCCACGTCAGTGGGCAGTCCCAGAGCAGCACTGGGCAGTGAGGGTGGCAGGTCAGCATGGAGGTTCTGGCCTTCCCCTGTCAGGCGGTGGGAGGACTGTGTAGCATCCTTGGAGGTTTTTCAGGTTCCGGCCTTCCCTCAGCAGGTGATGGGAGGACTCTGTAGTATCCTTGATGTGACTGGAGAGAGAGAGATTCCTATTGTTTAGGATCTTTGAAAATTGAAGATACCTATCAATAGAACCAACCTCAGAACTAACCTTAGGATCAAAACGATAACCACTGACATAAGGAGGTTACATAGCATCTGTCAAGCCTTCTAACTGGAGTTGGTATAAACCTAGTTTCTTTAGATGCTGCTCATTCTCAGAACCTGTGAGACCTGGTTTTTGCAATTCTGTATCAGTTCTTAATTCCACTCTCCTAGGGAACGGCTAATTTCCTAAAATACTCTTTGCCCTTGCTCTTTGTTTAGGATATCGGCCGGGTCGCAGGACCACCAATACTCAATCCGGTAGCGAATGAGATTTACTTGAATTTTGAAAGCAGTACTCCTTGCTTAGCGGACAAGCATTTCAACTACACCTCGCTCATTGCGTTTCACTGTAAGAGAGGCGTGAGCATGGTAAGTGTGGGCCTGTGATGATCTAGATGCTTAACTGGATTAGTGAGCCAAGTCTAGACAACCAGAAAGTGCATATCAGGTCCAAGGATACTCTTATTCAAAATGACTGCCTTGGATAAGAAGGTACGCTAGTAATGTGTCTGAATAATTTAAACCACTGATTGAAGGCTGAGTGAGCTCCCCGCGGTTAATAGCATATAGAAGCTTGCTGTAATTTAAAAACATAGAACACAAGTATAGAAATGACATTCAGCTTTGACTGCTGATGCATAAAAGTGTCGTAACTTTTGTTTTTACTGTAACAATTACTGATTTTATTCTAACTGGGAAGTCAGAAAGACATTTGGGCAGCTGTAGTCATTCAGGACATAGCCCAGAAGTTCACAAGTGACAAAAGACCCCTGGAATCAGAATAACTACAACCAAGTGGCACCTTTTACTTATAAGGAGGTATTGACTTCCATTTTATGTGCATTAAAAAAAGAATACCAGCTTCCATTATAATGAGTTGGGCATTGTTATAAAGAGTTTTTGAGTATGTTTTCTTTTGACCCCTACTCTGTGAGATAAATGGGTAGGTTACGGCCCCCGTTCCACAGGGACTCAGAGCAGCTCTGCAGGGGCAGAGCCAGGTCCCAGCTGCTGCACAGGGGAACGGCTCTTTGCCCCAGGGACACAGCGCCGCAGCCTCTCGTCTGTGCTTCTGAAATCTGTGAAGCTCTGAAAACCTGGGACTCCTTTGACATGAGTGGACTGAGGCTATTCGTGGTGTGGGTTTGTCCCACCTAATGTGGATATTGATACGTCTAGCTACAGAAGTATTAATATGCTTGATCACAGGATCTGGGGGTGTGAGAATTGCCTCTTAAAATCCTAATAAAGATGATGGATTCCAAGGCTCATCTGACCCCTAGGAGTTCAGCTGATGGATTAGGGTCTGTTGGGTGTCTTGTAATTCTGATAAAGATATCCTAATGATGTTTGGGCCTGGAGCAGGTTTGTAAAGGGACTGTTAGACACGGGTGTGCTGACAGTGACAGAAAGTGACCTGGCAGCCGTCTGACCAGTAGGAGAGAGAGTATTTGAGAAGGAGAAGAAAACAGTCCTGCTGTTTGGGGCTATTCCACAGGGGCTTAGAGCACCTCAAAGCCCTTGGATGTGTCCCTGTTCGTGAATCTTACTAGAGTGTAATGACAGTCCTAGTTAGTAAGGAAAGGCAGAGCTGTATTCAGTCCACCCATTTCATCTGTTTATAAGCGTATCTGCATATTTATATAGGGGTGTCTGTATGCCTCTGCAGATGCACACAGCATGGGGCAACGTGGACTTTGCCTTGAGGGGGGCTTCTGCTTTCAGTTCTTCATTCTTTAAAGGACAGTCTTCACTTCTAAGACCCGCCTCATCATAAGTGATGCTCTGTTATCTCACACCACCAGCTAAAGAGTGTGGAACTATGCCTTGCTTTGACACTGCTGCCAACTTGACAAATCAAATTAGCTAATGTGATTTTAGTTAATTCTCATCAGCCGCACATCGAGAGTGATTAGTGTTTACTTGATTTTAGAAATGAGGCATCTTATGCTGAATGTGTGTTCTGGTGTCCCAGAAAGATTTTTAGAAGATTTCTCCTCCCTAGCAGTTTTCATTTTCAATGGAAGTACTTTTACCACTGAATCATAGGGAAAAAGATGCTTAACATTAATTACAAACGGAATTCCTGAGAGCTGCCTCATCTTTTTTTTGTTGCTGTTGAATGAGGGAGGGAATAAATAAAGTGATTCAAGAATACTTGGCCTATGGAATATCTGGCCACGTGGCATCTTGCCCCTTGAATAAATGTCTCCTGTGTGTAGAGACAGTGGATTGGAGCACTTGCGAGGCACAGTGTCAACTTCACAGACCTCGCTCGTGACATTTAAGTCCTCCTCCTTTCTTCTTGAACCTGTAGCACAGAATGTCGAGGATTTCTCTCTAAATAGAGGATAAGACCTGGATTCAGCCAGGGAGCCCCCAGGATATGTGGGGGGCAAGGGCGGGGTGATGTCTGTGCCTTGAAGATGGCATTGGGTCTTTCAGCTGCTGTTGTCCAGCGTCCCTTCCCTCTGAGAGGCCGCTATGGGTTACGCACAGCCCCTGTAGGGGCGTGGTGTGTCACTGCTGTCTATCCCTGTGCCATGGGGTTTTTAAGACCCATGCTCTTCCTGGTGATAGGGAACGCCTAAGCTGTTAAGGACCAGCGAGTGCGACTTTGTGTTCGAATGGGAGACTCCGGTCGTCTGCCCTGATGAAGTGAGGACGGAGGGCTGTGCCCTGACGGATGAGCAGCTCCTCTACAGCTTCAACTTGTCCAGCCTCTCCACGAGCACCTTTAAGGTAATGTGTTCACCCTGGGCGTGCTGGCGCAGGTATACCAGCTGCTGTGAGGCTGCCCGGAGTGTTTTGGATAATGTGGTAGCTGTGAGCTGAGAGGGTGGGTGTGGCCACTGGGCAGCATCTGGGGGCTCTCGTAGGGCATGCCAGGTCTCAGGAAGGTTCCTGGATTGTGTGGCCAACTCAGCACAGCTGACACTTGCGTTGTACCTCATGACTCTGCACTTAAGGCTTTTTGAGGATCAGGTAACCTCATGAGGTGGGTAGTGAGACCCTTTGTATCAGACAGAGAGCAGATGGGGCAGCCTGGAGACATGAATGTAAGGTATCCATGGGGGCAGGGATACCTTCAGCTTTTGGGTGGCTGAAATCTACGGGAATTTAATTCCTCCAGCCTGGCTGAAGATGATCAAGGCAGTTGTTTGCTGACTGTGGCAGCTGTGGGTGGAGGGAGGTAGGAAGTGCCTTGGAATTGAGAGGCACTTGGGCATGTGCCTGCATGCCATCCCAGAGCGGCCTATGCTAGGTCTGTGGGCTGTTGGTTTTACTGATGTGGTGTCGTGGTTGCTGGTGCCTGAGGGCCCCTAGCTCCCTAAGCCTCGATATCTAGGCGTTACCATGCCAGTGCCTAGACTAGGGTATGGAACCCCAGCACCTGCTGTGGCATAGCAGCTGGTGAGTGATGAGCTTGGAGTTTTGGGCCTAGGTGCCAACACCCTGGCTCCTGTGATGGAGCCCTCTGCCTAGGTGCAGGTCCTCCCGACAGGTGTGCAGCAGGTGTGAGCCTTCTGGGCGCTAGGTGGGCCAGGAGAGTCAGGTCCATGCTTCAGCGTGCAGCGTCGGCTCTGCTCATTCACTCCCTTGGCCTGCACAATGCCTTATTACACAGGTGAGGGAGGTGGGGTGAGCCTGAGGCTCCCCGCTGGGTCCCTTCCCACTGAGCTGTGACTGGAGACGACAGCCAGGGCAGTGGCTGGCTGAGGGGGTGGCCGAGGCCCCTGGCAGGAAGCAGGAGGAGCAAGCAAGCTGGGCCTAGGGGTTGGGGGAGGCCTCCCAGGGAAAACCTAGGGCCAAGGCGATTACATGACTCTGATGCACACAGAGGAGCCTCTGCCCTTCTGCATGAACCTGCCTCTGGCACCAGCTGCAGTAATGGTTCTCTCTTCACCTTGAGACCTGGGTGCTGCCACCCTGGTGACGGCCACACGTGGTGTTTGTCCAGGTGACTCGAGACTCACGCACCTACAGCGTTGGGGTGTGCACCGCTGCGGCCGGGCCAGAACAAGGAGGCTGTAAGGATGGAGGAGTCTGTCTGCTCTCGGGCACCAAGGGGGCATCCTTTGGACGGCTGCAGTCAATGAAACTGGATTACCGGCACCAGGATGAAGCTGTCATTTTAAGTTATGTGAATGGTGATCGTTGCCCTCCAGGTAAATATTTGCAATGAGGTAAACCTCAAGCTCACAGTAAACTAGAAATTAGATATAGCAGCAGAAAGAAGCTGAGGAGTGGAGCTCCAGGGTCCTATGAGTGCTGTAACCTTGGGCGTGAACGTGAGCTGTTCCTCTGTACACCCCCGGTGTGAACCCTGGTGCGTGAATCACGCTGTGTTCTCTCAGTTGTCTGGTGAGTTTTGGTGGGTGAATGCCAGTTGTCACATAGGTGCTTTACGATGGGCAGCTTCCTTAGGGACTCCTGCTGCATTCTTAGGTGACTGTGCCTGGTGAGGCACAGCTGCCACACTGGTAATGTGGATTATTCAGATGTTCTTCTTCTTTCTAGAAACTGATGAAGGCATCCCCTGTGTCTTCCCCTTCACATTCAATGGGAAGAGCTACGAGGAGTGTGTCATAGAGAGCAGGGCAAAGCTGTGGTGTAGCACAACTGCGGACTACGACAGAGATCATGAGTGGGGCTTCTGCAGACACTGTGAGTAGGAAGGCTCTGCATCCCCACATGGCCTGGGGCCTTGATACTCTCAAGGCTCGATTCACACTGAGACCTTTGTGGATGCGCCAGTCAGTGGCAGGAATTCTCTTGCATAAAATATGTTCTTACTCGAGCTCTTTCCCACAGAGAAACATTTGAATTGCTCTGTAACCGTATCTACAGACCGCAGTAGAGCTGTCCTGAAATGCTGTGCTGGGTGGCTGGCTAGGCCCACACACTAGCCAGAGGGCCTTGTGTCCACATACCAGGTTTTAGCCCTGGTGGTTCAAATGATGCCTCAGCAAAATAAATGTCTGCCATGGGTCTTCAGGATTCTGAAGCTAGTGAGAATTCCGGGAAACCAGGCGACTCATTGACTGACTTTCTGCCATGTGGCAGCCCACATGTGGGGTGGGGTTTCTTGGTGAGCCACACAGCGCCTTGCCCCTGTGGTGCTCAGGAAGTTTCATGAGAGGTGCCAACTGCTGTGACTTGTGTCTACGGACCGTGAGATGGAAGAAATGCATGAAAAATTACTAATTTTCATGAATGTCCGGGGACCATAATGGGATGTATTAAGGAACCAAAGGTGTTAAATTTACAAAGGATTACTATAGCTTTGTTTTGAGGCTTATTTTGACAAAACATTATTCCCTGTTTTCTGAATCACACTTGTGTTTTCAAGTACTTGTAGGTATTGTATTAGTATCTTAATTTTTTTTTTTTTTTTTTTTTTTTTTGAGATGGAGTTTTGCTTTTGTTGCCCAGGTCAAGTGATTCTCCTGCCTCAGCCTCCCAAGTAGCTGGGATTACAGGCGCCCGCCACCTTGCCCAGCTAATTTTTTTGTATTTTTGGTAGAGATGGGATTTCACCGTGTCGGTCAGGCTGGTCTCGAACTGCTGACCTCGTGATCCACCCGCCTCGGCCTCCCAGAGTGCTGGGATTACAGGCATGAGCCATTGTGCCCAGCTATCTTAATTTTTTTGGTGATTAGTAGACTGGTCAAATATTGAACACCCATCTGAGGAATTACCTAGGGCTGTGGGGTTATTAAGAAGTATGATGAAAGGCTGTGCCAAGGAGCTGGATCTGTTTGGAGTCAGGATACACATGAGTGAATCAACATGAGATGTGGCCAGGGCAGCACGTGGGGCATTGCCAGATGGCGGATGGAGTCTGCAGGTGCTCCTGAGGCAGCATGGGGAAGACGTGCGGGAACGTGCCCTGGTGCAGGCCTTGGTCTGACGTTCTCCTGCCTCTGCTCCCCAGCAAACAGCCACCGGACATCCAGCATCATATTTAAGTGTGATGAAGACGAGGACATTGGGAGGCCACAAGTCTTCAGTGAAGTGCGTGGGTGTGATGTGACGTTTGAATGGAAAACAAAAGTTGTTTGCCCTCCAAAGAAGATGGAGTGCAAATTCATCCAGAAACACAAAACCTACGACCTGCGGCTGCTCTCCTCTCTCACCGGGTCCTGGTCCCTGGTCCACGACAGAGTCTCGTGAGTGCCTTCCCATCCGCCTGCAGCACCACACCCTCAGCCGATGAATGTCAGACTGCTTGATGATGATTGGCTCTTGGGGTTCTAAGGATGGGAATACCACGCCCATGTGAGGCTGATGGCGATTGAGCTGTGGCTGCTCCTGGAAGCAGCCTGCAGTGTCAGACCTGGCACAGAGGGTGATTCTGAGGTCAGAGTGGGAGCGGGAGCTTTGGTGACCGGAAACGGAGCCTCCGGAACTGGAAGAACCTGGACTCACTGAGTTAGGCCGGGCTCAATTTGCATTTGTGTGTAGCTCAGGTTGTGGGAGGTGTGTCGGCTTTCTTGGGTCTTTGGCAGGAGCTCCTTAGGCTTTGCTGGCTGGGGTCAGCCCATGGTCCTGACCACTCTGTGTGGGGAGCGCCCCTTGCCAGTGCTCCTGGCAAGGCATCACCAAGGAGCAGGGGCATGGACTCAGAGGGTTTAAGTGGCTCTAAGTAAGGTGGGAAACTTGCCAGGATCCCAGCCACTGCCTCTCCCAGCCCCAGAGCCCTTCTTTCTACCACGCCACGCTGTGTTCAGCGTGACCGCAGGTGTGGATATTCCACTCCGAGTGTGCCTGGTTGGTAAGCTCCCTTCTTCAGTGATGACTTCCTTTTGTCCTATTTTTTTAATTGGAAAAGCTACATTCAGTGATGGAATGGAGCCCTTAGTTACAGAACCTTTCTCTGAAAGTAAAGCGAAGAGCCCTCCTGTGTCAAGGGCAGAGACGTCACTTGCTTGCCTGTTTCTTGCCCCTTTGTGTCGTTTTCTAGGTACTATATAAATCTGTGCCAGAGAATATATAAAGGGCCCCTGGGCTGCTCTGAAAGGGCCAGCATTTGCAGAAGGAGCACAACTGGTGACGTCCAGGTCCTGGGACTCGTTCACACGCAGAAGCTGGATGTCATAGGTAAGGCCTGTGGGTCCTGGTCCTTGGTTCAAGGAGCGGCATCTGAACCGGGAAGGTGAGGGTGTTCTCAGGATAGCAAGGAGAGTGAGCATACGCTTTGGTGGAAACCTCCAGATGTGATTGCCTGTCACTGTCTCACGGGCATTTTGGCTCTCCTGGAACATTAAAATAAGTGCCGTTTTGTATTATGTGAGATTGCAGGTCCCAGTCTGTGTGTTTAGAGGGGTTCGGCTATCTCGGGAAAGTGCGTCTATCCAGGGGGAGATCTCAGAATGTTCAGCGTTCCTCTGAAGTTTATGTTCTAGCTGTAGATCAAGTGCCGAAACTGACATAGACACACGTGTTTGTTGAGGCAAGCCAGACGATTGCATGAGGACTCGGTGCAGGTAGTTCAGAGCTACATCTTGGTAAAATGTCTTAACAATTTTGAAAATAATAACGATGCTTTTTAATGGGAAATTGATCTTGTAGTTGGTTGGTGAGTGAAAGATGTTTTCTTTCATTATTTAAAGGTGGAAAATAGAGGTTTCTTAGCTTAAGAGCAATTAGGATTTGTTGGAGGGGCCAGTAAAGGAAAATATTCACCTTTGCCTCTTACGCTGGATTGGGGTTTCCTGAGTTGTCCTGATTCAACTACAGGACTACTTCAGATTAGCTTGAGATGTTGAGATGGAGAAAGAGAATTCCGAGAAAACTACTGTCACCCTTGATAAAAGTCACACGCAGACTCTGCAGGTTGGTAGTGGAGGGAGAGCTGCCGTATATACAGGAAGTGGCGCCCAGACCGCCAGCCTGAGACCCGCCCTCCCCGGGAGGTTCCTAACCGCTTTGGAGGTCAGTGGTTGCTGTCACTCCCACACTGCCCCAGAGGGGGAAGGAGGGAAGGTAGTGGAGGGCGGCTCTCTCCCCTGTCATGTCGCGGTACATACGGGTATTCGACTAGTCTTTCCCCAATGTCAGCCAACTGCAATCACTAAAACACTTAAGGCTTCACTAAAAGCTTGAGGCAGAAGGAGCAAAAGAGAGTAGTGAACACAGGGAGTGACATGGAACTAGATCGTCTGACTTCTCAGCGGTGACCTGCAGGCCACCTCCATTTGGGGAGCACCATTTTGCAAGTCAGGCCTCGCCAGGCGGGAAGAGCTCTTGCTTTCTCCTGGGGCTGGCATTTGGTATCCTGAGCACCTGCTGACTGGAACGAGAAGTAATCTGGTGTCTGACGCACCCAGTGAGCTCTTAGTCTTTGGCACCAGCAAGACAGCATCTGCGGACAGCCACGGTGCCGCCATTGTCCACTTAGGGAATGGACTCCACCCTGTGGGGGTGGGAGGTAGACTTTTGTTTCTGGAACCAGCATGTCTCAAGCAGCTGCGCTTAATATATGTTTAATCCCCATGCACTCCATGGGGCAGTGTCGTCATCCGTTCCACACACTGGGCCCCTGAGGCGGGGAGGTTGAGCCTCCTGCCCAATCGGTATGGGCTGTTTACACTCCTGAAGTCGTTGCTTGTTTGATCCCATATGCCAGAAGTTTTAAAAATTTTCTGCAAAATTTTAGTGGAATTCTTTCTTCCAAAATTTTACACAGAAGCCCAGTATTTAAAACAAATTCAGCTGGAGCAGCTTTGAATTTGGGGCAGGGCTAAGAGCCTAGAGTCCTACCTCCTACCTCACCATCCGGCAGCCCCCCAGCACCTCAGCCTGTGTCCTGTGGAAAACACTCGGGAAGTGGGCACTGTGCCCGTGTTACCTCCACCGCGTGCCCCTGCCTGGAAGAATCTGTGTGTGTGTGATCAGGGTGGAAGGCACATGCTTGCCCTGGACACCCCGTGCCATGCCCTGGAGACATTGTCTGTCCATGCAGCCAGAATGGGCCTGGACCATTTCCAGAACCGCCCCCTGGGCAGCCACGAGCAGCCTCTTGGCGGTGGCTTGAGAGTTGGAACCTGGCGGCCACGCTGCCGCAGTGATACTTGCAGCTTAAAGCGTATACTCGCTTTTCTCTCAGACCCTGCAGGTTCGAGGGTTCAGGTTTTTCTTTTAACGGGTCACTTTTAAAAGACAGTGCTTGACTTAAAGCTAGAAGAGCCTAGAAAACCACAATTGGTCTCTGTTTCTGGCTTTTCACTTTTTCTGTTCCCTGCTGTGTTATTATTGGGAGGCTCACATGAGGGTACCTGTCAGGAAAGCACCTAATAGGATACAGAAATTTTACACAGTTGGAGCAATAATGAAGGCTGCCATTACCCAGGGTCCCACTATTCACATGAGTTTGTCGGGCGCTTTCTATACATGCTTGAGACTTGCCTGCTTTGGACAGTGTCCTGTTCTGCAGGGAAGGCCCTCGAGGCTCAGAAGCTTAGCAACCCAGGGTCACAAAGTGTGGGAGTAGGAGGGTTTGGGTTTGACCCCAGGACTTGGGCTGTGGCAATTGTGCAATAGGCCAGGTGGCCACCCCTGAGCATGAGAATGCAAGAACAGGTCGATAAACCTTTAGGGAGCCAAAACTTGATTTTTTCCTGGTCTTTAAACCAGATTTTTACTCCCAACTTTGAAGCTTCGTTTGTTTGTTTTTTTTTGTTTTTGTTTTTGAGATGGAGCTTTGCTCTTGTTGCCTGGGCTGGAGTGCAATGGTGCTGTCTCAATCTTGGCTCACTGTAACCTCTGCCTCCTGAGTTCGAGCGATTCTCCTGCCTCAGCCTCCCGAGTAACTGGGATTACAGGCACCTGCCATCGTGCCTGAATAATTTTTGTATTTATGGGGTTTCACCATGTTGGTCAGGCTGGTCTCGAACTCCTGACCTCAAGTGATCTGCCCGCCTTGGCCTCCCAAACTGTTGGAATTGACAGGTGTGAGCCAGCGCGCCTGCTTGAGGCTTTTTATAATGTGCTAGAAATAATGTCAGTTCAATCGTTTGTGTGTTTCAGGTGACAAGGTGGTTGTCATGTACTCCAGAGGTTATCCGTGTGATGGAAATAAGACTGCATCCTCCGTGATAGAATTGACCTGTACAAAGACGGTGGGCAGACCTGCATTCAAGAGGTCAGGAGACTGGGGGCTCAGCGCGGGACTGTGCAGTGAGCACACTGGAGGAATTCCTCCTTGGGGTTTTCACGGGCAGGTTTTGGCTGAGTGTTAGGAGGTCAGGGCCAGAGCCATTGATTGTGCTGTATTGGGCAGGGCTGCTCCTTGGGCAGGGCTGCTCCAGGCAGGGAAGACCCCCGGATACAGTGCTGAGACACTGTTGCAAGACCAGTGCAACTTCTCTGGGCTAGCTTGTCTCTTGAACTATGTTTAGCACTGGCTGAGCAGTATTTAACTGGCCTCCACCTTTGAATGTCATAGTAGGAACAAAGGGGCGTTGATTTGCCCCACCCAAGGTGTTCAAGCAGCCTGGCTGGTACCCTCAAGCAGCTGGGACCTGCATCTGGACCTGGGATGTGCTTGGATTATGTTCAGGTTTTCCAGGCCACATTGCATCTGGTGCCAGGGAGAGCTTGGCCAACAGAGGGTGCATGTGAGCTGCTGTTTGTGAACAGAACTGATTCCTTCCAGACGTTCAGTTTGGAAAAGGGGAGACTCAGAAATTGCGAAAGGATTTAGGAATGTATAAGTCCGAGAAGCCTAAAAATCTAAAAATCTAGGAGCAAATTTTTCCAGGTTTTCAATGTTGCGTGGTTTACAAATTTTAAAGGATTTATATTGAATGCTTGCATGCTTTGTCACATTACTGATGTGTGCACCACAGTCATCTTCCCTATCCATTGTGGTGATGAAAAGAAGTGAGTGAAATAACCATCCTTGCTCCGAGCTGCTGTCAGTGTTGAGTCAGGAAGTTCTGCGTAGGCCTGTGCAGCCTGGGGAGTGGGGTCCTCGGGACGCAGCCCAAGTCTTGCAGCACCTTGCCTGAAAGCCAGTGAGCTGCTTCAGGGGCTGCGTGGTGTTCACTGTTTTGCAGTCTTCCCTCGTGTCTGGCTGGGGAGGTGACTGTAGTCTGTGCTTCCCTCCTCCTAGGTTTGATATCGACAGCTGCACTTACTACTTCAGCTGGGACTCCCGGGCTGCCTGCGCCGTGAAGCCTCAGGAGGTGCAGATGGTGAATGGGACCATCACCAACCCTATAAATGGCAAGAGCTTCAGCCTCGGAGATATTTATTTTAAGTAAGTAAAACGTTTTCCTTTTGAGCTGTGAAATGTGTTCAAAATTAAACTAGCAATGCAGCTCTTTCCCTATCGGGGAGCGCTGCAGGATAAATAGGTCTGTGTTTTAGTTACTGTTGCTGGAGTCGTCGTCATCTTTTGCTTAAACTGAGGAAAAGCATTACTCAACCATTAAGTTTTAACACCAAAGATGGTGAATTCTCGTGAGTGTAAAAATAAATCCCCCCTCCTCCTCCCTCACTTCACGATAAGCTCAGGGGTTGAGGCTGAAGCCTTCTGACATGTTTAAGCAGGAATCTTCTGGGCTTACCAGTGTTTGGAAAATAAGTTTCTCAGCGGTGGTACTGGGGCTGCTCTGGGGGGCTGGTGGCCGAGGTGCACAGATAGCACGAGGGCCGTGTGCTGCTGGACATAGCACCTGAGGAAGGTGGATTAGCACTCAGAGGGCAGAACTGGCTGGGGAGAGCCTCTTGAGATGGAAACTGGCATCCTCAGAATCTCTGTGGGGTCACAGACTTGCTGCCCTAGTGCAGGAAAGGAAGCATCGTGGGGTCCTGCAGCGATTCTGAGGACTGAAGGTTTATGTCATGAATGCCTTCTTGAAGGACTTCCACGTCACTCTGGTCTTTTCTGTCTCTTCAGGCTGTTCAGAGCCTCTGGGGACATGAGGACCAATGGGGACAACTACCTGTATGAGATCCAGCTTTCCTCCATCACGAGCTCCAGAAACCCGGCATGCTCTGGAGCCAACATCTGCCAGGTGAAGCCCGACGATCAGCACTTCAGCCGGAAAGTCGGCACCTCTGACAAGACCAAGTACTACCTTCAAGGTAATCCGCGGCTTCCCACACAGGGTCCCCATTAACTTCCTCCGAGGAAGGGGATTAACGTTTTCAACTAACCCCCTTCGGTTGAAATCGCGGACCACTTTTAAAACAAAAACTATGGTCTAATTCTTTGCTTTGTTACGAATTTTGTCAAAATGGATCGAACGACACGTGTCAGACCTGAACATTTCACTATAGGTAAATTGTGTCTTAGTTAACAAATGAATGTACAAAAAAATGAAAACCTGGTCTGATCCAGTGGTTCTGAGGTCAGGTGGAGGCTGAGCGGGGCACAGTCAGAATTACCTTTGATTTGGTTTTAGCCATGACACTTCCTTATTTTGGAATGCCAAATAATATTTGAGAAGGTAAGAGATTTTATATTTGTAAGAAGGATGAAAGAAAGCTGCCCTAAGTGTTAGGATGTAGGTTAAAATCAACCAGGACGCACAGAGGGCAGAATCCAGGGTATGAAGGAAGGTTTTATACTGGCACTAATAAGGATGTTGCCCTTCGTTCCCTCAAATAATCCTGAAAGGTTGCTTTTGTTTTGAACAGATAGTCTTAACTATATACCTTTCATAATTTGATTTTTGAACTGTGTGTGGATGTAATAACTCTTAAAAAAAAAAAATCAAGGCTGGGCGCGGTGCCTCAAGCCTGTAATCCCAACACTTTGGGAGGCCGAGACGGGCAGATCACGAGGTCAGGAGATCGAGACCATCCTGGCTAACATGGTGAAACCCCATCTCTACTAAAAATACAAAAACTAGCCGGGTGAGGTGGCGGGCGCCTGTAGTCCCAGCTACTTGGGAGGCTGAGGCAGGAGAATGGCGTAAACCCGGGAAGTGGAGCTTGCAGTGAGCCAAGATCCGGCCACTGCACTCCAGCCTGGGCGACAGAGCGAGACTCCATCTCAAAAAAAAAAAAAAAAAAAAAATCAAGTGTGTTTAAAGAAAACCCCAGCCTGCTCTGATGTCAAAGAGCTGCCGATCGGGTCCCCTGGGAAGGGAGAGTAGTAATAGCCAAGAAGGAGCGGGTGCCCCGTGCCTTGGTGCTGAGCGCATCTCCACGACGGCAGCACCTGATGGAGGAAAGCTGGGTCAGCATCGCTGCTCCTGGTCACAGATCATAGACAGCGCCCCGGTGCATCTCATAGCACCTGTGGCCCCTGAATAGAACTGGGAAAGTGAATGTTCTGCTTTCTGGGCGGGTTGATGATGGGAAAGTTGATCAGCCTCATTCGCTTGCAGAATTCCACAGCTCAGAGCAATCACTCTGTGTTCCTTTGTTCTCTGCTTCCTCACGCTTCTGTGAATCCTCCAGTCATTCAGAATCAGATGTTGCATGTCACAGGTTGTGCCTTCTCTTGCTGTCCTCTTTCCCAGTGCTCAGTAAATGTTGATTAAAGGAAGGAAGGAAGAATGGTTTAAGATTGTTTCAAAAGCCTTCAGGGGGCCCTATCATGCAGAGAAGGAAAGTCCAGGCTCTCTCTGACACAGCTGGAAGATGTCTGAGAGACTTCGCGTACCAGGGCAGCCTTGCAAGCTGCTGCTCCCACACATGCCTCAGCTATCAGTTTATTCACCAGCTCCCAAAGTCACCCTGTAACCTGGTGGGTTTACACGTGCTGCTCTTGGTGCTGGAATGCCTCGGTCCACCTTCCTCATCCATCCAAACCTACCTCCCGTGCCCCTCCTGGGAAGGCCCACCTTCTCATAGCAGGGTGATGCCGCCTGGTGCGTCTGCAGGATTCCAAACTGCCTCCCGTGCCCCTCCTGGGAAGGCCCACCTTCTCAGGATGACGCCGCCTGGTGTGTCTGCAGGAGTCTTCAGGCTCCACTGCGCAGCACTGGCCGCTTGTCTGGTTCCACGTAAGAACTTCCGTGTTCACAAAGGGTATGTCTAGCAGACCTTTGAGGATCACCGACTTTCCGAGTGCTTGTGCATGCGCATTTAGTCATTCTTGGTAAATAAAATCCCTTTCAGACCTTTTCACTTTCTTCATTCACCAGCCCCAGAAAGTAGCTTTAGTTTTAAGACCTCTTTTCATCTTTCATGAAGAAATGAAATGTCTGCCTCTTCCTGAGGATTGCCATTCCTTCGGGAGGGCAGCAGCTGTCTCTCCTCGACGTGGAGCTGCTGGGCGGTTTGCTCCCCCACACCAGCCCTGCAGAGCAGTGCATTCGGCAGCCCCTGCTTCAGCTACTCCAAGGCGAGAGTGGGGGGCCCTCCCCTGCACCGCCTATCTCGGGTCCCCATCTGTGTATGGACACGTCCGTCTCATACCCTGCACACTCGCCTCTGCATTCCTGGCACCTAGCAGCACCAGCCACAAAGATTTTGAGCCAATGACAAAGGTTGGGAGCAGCAGAGCTCATGCAAGGAGTCCACACAAGGGTTCCTCACTTCTGACACCAACAGCACACTGAACGGTTCCCAAGCCAACTTCAGATTCGCCCTTTTACCGTGACTCACAGAGCTCCCTGGACGCGGTTACGCTCATAGTTACGATTTACTGCAGCAAAAGGATATAGGTTAAAATCAACCAAGATGCACACAGGGCAGAGTCCAGGAGGGAATCGAATTCAGAGTTCCCACCAGCTCTCCCGTGGAATCAGATGTGTTGTGTTCCCAGCACCCACGTGTGGCAGTCAGTGCACATGGAGTATCGCCAGCCGGAGGTGCTCTCCCGAGCCTTGGTGTCCAGAGTTTTTCCCGGGGCTCTGACATGAGCAGGATTGGTCGGTTGATTGCTCAGGTACTGCATGGCCAGCTCCTGCCCTGTATCCTATCATTAGCCAAGGACCAAGGCCAGTCCTCTTTTTGGGCAAGGTTAAATTCTTGCCTTCCCTCCTATCACCGTTGCTTCTGGCACCATTGCCCTGGAGGAGCTCCTGGCACAGTGGTGGGGTCTCAGGCCTCCACCTTACTGTGCGATGAAGAGCTTGAGGAGATCGAGAAGGAGACTGGCCTTTCCCACCGTCAGATCACTCGCCTGTGCAGGCGGTTCAGCAACCTGGACAAAGGAGAGAACAAGACGATTTCCAGGGGATTCCAGAACTTGCGATCAACCCGGTAGGGAACTGGATCATCAATGCCTTCTTTCCAGAGGGAGAGGACCAGGTAAACTTCCGTGGATTCCTGCAAACTTTGGCTCCTTTCCGAACCACTGAGGATAATGAAAAGAGCAAAGATGTGAACGGACCTGAACCACTCAACAGCCGAAGCAACAAACTGCACTTTGCTTTTCAACTATATGATTTGGATAAAGATAGCAAGATCTCTCGTGATGATGTTAAAGGTGCTATGCATGATGGTCCGAGTACATGTCTCCAATGAGCAGCTGGGCAGCATCACAGACAGGACCATTCAGGAGGCTGATCAGCATGGGGACAGTGCCATATCTTTATCACAGACTTTGCTAAGGTTTTGGACAAGGTGGATGTAGAACAGAAAATAAGCATCCGATTTCTTCACTAAAGGACAGACAGCAAACTGTTCCTTGCGGTCTAGTATTTAAGAACTGGAACTTGACAGTCCTCCTGTCCACCAGCCCTACCTCCACCCCATCATTCCCCTTCTCCCAAAGTACCACTGCTGTTACATGACAACCCCAAATATGTTCTGTCCACACAAACTTGCCTTTGGTCTATAAACAGGGCATTACAGAATGGTACACCCAGTCTATTTCTGCTCAGTGTCTATTCACCAGTTCTTCACTTACAAATATTGTCTTCCTCTGTTCTGCTGCTGAAAGCCACACATCCATCCAGTCTGAGAAAGTAAGATAGGAAATCATGCCGAGGAACAGGCCAGCAAAGCTCTTTCGCTGGATGTAGGCTGCACCTGCTGCCTTCCCCGCAGCGAGTCTGCCAGCATGCTTCTCCATCCTTTTTATATGTCCTTTGCTTCCCACTTACGTGTACGTTCAACATACGGTTCACCTAGTCATGCAGTCTTGCTGCTTTTCGTGAAGCCTCAGAATCTCCTCTGTTCTACTTGGCACCCCAAGCTATGCCTGGTATTGTATTTCTGACTTGGTACGATAGTTCAGTGGTCTGGCAGTTTTTATCTACTTTCGTTATTAAATGGGCCCCTGGGATGTTGCCTCCCCAGGAGCCTTTTGGTAACCAACATTTCTGTCAGGAGTATGAGATCATCCTCTGCACTGTGCTCTGTCATCAGAGGGCGGCTGGGTGGACATATTCGTGAAAGGTGGCCTTGGAGAGAGGAGTGGAGTCAAGTCTTCTGGGTCGCTTGTCCACATCACTCTGCTTCTGGCCTCTGATTCTCAACTTTGTACCCATGTGGCATCTCTTGTTAGTGCAGTGTTGACTATTCAAAAAGTAGCAATAGGCCTGCAGGTTTGCTTAGTCTTGGGACGCCATTACCACCAGAACGCCTGCTCTGACAATATGCTTGGGGACTGCCTGATGGCTTTTTGAACAAGGAGGCTGCGCACCCTGTAAAGCCTCCTGCGTTCGCACCTCTGCTGCATGGTTTGTGCCTCAGTGTTTTGTGCACTGGAATGCTTTTCACTTGACGTTTCCAAGTTAGAAAGATTAGTGTTACGGAAGTGCCTAACTTACCCCAGTCCAAAATATTTAAAGATTGTTCTCTGTGTCTTGAAGTTTCGCACAAAATTATTTATGAATTTTACACTTGTCAAATGTTAGTGCTGGAAGCCATAGTCCGCTCCTAATACAAGTCCAAAGCATTGACTGTTGTGTCACTAGCTCCCTGGTTACATTGGTTTCCCAGCTCCTTGTGTAGGCCACTGTTGATCCCTTAGAAACAAGAGGTCTGGCACTAGTAGCACAACCTAAGGTGGCATTCCAAGTCTTTGAGCAAGTCACAGCAGCTTTTCTTGCCAAAGTCAGCTTAGTTTAGACTTCAGTGGTTCAGGCTGTTGCTATCCTAATGTATGTCTCTGTGAGTCTGTTCATTCACATATCTGCCGTTGGCTGACTTTCTTGACTCATTGCTTGCTTGCTTGTTTCCTTGCTTTGGAAAACTATTGGAGATGTGTACATCAGTCTTTAGGAAGGGGATTGTTTAAAAATACCACTGCAAAGCGATAGAAAAGGGTGGAGAACAGGGGAGTAGCCAGGCTGGATGGCTCAAATATAAATGAATGAGGAATTCTTTATGAAGTATCAATTGGACTTTGTGATCGAGTGATGTAATATAGGAATTATATAGAAAGAAGAATATCTGATACTGATCTGTTAGATACTTCAGAGGCTCCTTGATTTGCATATTTGCATAATTAAAATTACGGCCTTTCCCTTCTTTTGGCTGCACAGCAGACTGTTTTAATCCACGATTGTGCCTTCTTGTTCCATTAAAATTGCATCTTCAGTCCATCAATAAATACTCATGGTCAAAACAAAGCAAAAATTCTTTACTGCACACTGAGTAAGGGCAGGGCTCTATCAATGTGCATCGAGTGGCCTCGTAAGCTGTGAACAGAGTGGATGTGGGACGTGGGGTGAAGTCTCTTCTGCCTGATTTTAAGTCTTTGCAAACTTTTTAGACTGTAAGGAGCTAAGCTCAGTCTGTTCGTGAAAATTGGTGGTGACATGCCACGTGTGCCCTTCCTGTTTGACAGACGGCGATCTTGATGTCGTGTTTGCCTCTTCCTCTAAATGCGGAAAGGATAAGACCAAGTCTGTTTCTTCCACCATCTTCTTCCACTGCGACCCTCTGGTGGAGGACGGGATCCCCGAGTTCAGTCACGAGACTGCCGACTGCCAGTACCTCTTCTCTTGGTACACCTCAGCAGTGTGTCCTCTGGCGTGAGTATGACATCTGGATGCTTAGCATTTGTACCCCACATCCTCCCTTGAGAATAAGTGTATGTGTGTTTGTTCCCCAATGTTTTCTTGTGAAATATTCAGAACATGCACCAAAAAATAGAGAAAATGGTAGAAGCAGACCCCACATAGTCAGTGCCCCGCTCCAGTGCTTGTCAGCATCCTGCCACTGATTTTTGGTCCGTGGCTGCGTCACCTCCCACCACCCCCAGTAGCAGTGCCGTTGTTTCCTTCGTGCGTACCGTGCCCTGAATAGGGTCCAGTCAGGGCGCCCCAGCTCTGTCCCTCCACCCCTTTCCCATTGCTGCCTCCCTTTCCTTAGCTCCTGGGAGGCAGGTACTGGTGGTGTCTCCTCTTTGTAATCCTGGAACATCGTTTGTGTCCTAATACAAATGATTGCGTTGTAAAGTTTCACTTTGATTTGAGTGTCGTATTTTTATGTTTGAATGAATGGAAAGCTTACTCTGCAGATCTGGAGAATCAGCGTGGGCACAGAGGCAGCAGTTTCTGCTCTGAAGGAAGGTGGCACCTCCACTGGCTGTCTTGTGTCTCACAGCCGTTTTATACTTTGCCACGAATAACATGTTGTCAGTTGCTTTCCTCTTGGATTTATTGTCTTATGTCACCCCGCCCACCATTTTATTTATTTTTATTTTTTATTTTTTTGAGACAGAGTCTTGCTCTGTCACCCAGGCTGGAGTGCAGTGGTGTGGTCTCAGCTCGCTGCAACCTCTGCCTCAGCCTCCTGAGTAGCTGGGATTACAGGCATGCGCCATTATGCCCTGCTAATTTTTGTATTTTTAGTAGAGATGGAGTTTCACCATGTTGGCCAGATAATCTGGTCTTGAACTCCTGACCTCAGATAATCTGCCTGCCTCGGCCTCCAAAAGTGCTGGCATTACAAGGTAAGCCGCCATGCCCGGCCTGGCCCACCATTTTACATAAGCTTTTCATTCTCTGTCCTGAGACTATAAGATCGGGGGAACATGAATTCTTTTCATGTAATTGTTTCCTTCATGCCCTGTAAAAGGGACCGTAGAGTCAGCAGACGACAGGGGTAGGGGTCATGGGGGAATGAAGATCACATATGTTACATCTTAAATCAGCATTCCCTCCGCCCACCCTTAACAATGGACATGAGCTCAGCAAAAACCAGCTTTGTCCTGCGCTGTTCAGGGCTGTGTACTTAGGGATCCTTAGCTGCACAGTCAAGGAAAGAGGCTTTTGGTTGAAATTTCACTTGTGGTATTTTCAGCTTTTGAATGTTTATGGTGTTCCGGTGAGGTCATTACAAAATGAAAGGATTAAGACTGGAAGTTCTTCCTGAAAAAAGCAAAATGTGAATTTTCATAAAAGATAAAACCCAGCAGGGAACTTTCCCTGCGTTCTCTGTCATTGAGAGGCTGCAACTGCTGTGAGGTGAATCCTGCCTCCTGACATGGCAGCTGGTCTTCTGTGTGGGTTTGAGGGAGCAGCCCAGGCTGGGATCCTGTCCGTGTTGAATGTTTAGAGTTGGACTTCTGTGAGTGGGAAGAGCACCGTTTATAGGGCTCTGGTGTTTGACTCTAAAACCAGAGAGGAAGATTCTCCAGGAAACCTCAGTTTCATGATGTTCAGAACATCAGGAATGGGAGTTATTTAAATCCCTTAGCACACGGACAAAGTAATAAGGACTTTAAAAAAAAAGAAACAGAAGTTGAAACCAAGAGCAAAAACTCAGATGGTAGATTTTGAGGGATGCAGGTACCAGCCGGGGGTGATGTGGAATAGTGCCTGAGATTTTTTTCTTCCCCAAATGTTATCAGTGTTGTACATTGTAAAATCATGTAAGTATGGCCAGATGTGGCTCACGCTTATAATCCCAACATTTTGGGAGGCTAAGGTGGGCAGATCACTTGAGGTCAGGCGTTCTAGACCAGCCTGGGCAACATGATGAAACCCCGTCTCCTCTAAAACTACAAAAATTAGCCAGGCGTGGTGGCACGCACACCACGAGATGGCATCACTGCACTCCAGCCTGTGTGACAGAGCAAGACTAGAGCTCAGGGAAAAAAAAAACAAAAACATGTAACTATAACAAACAGGTAGCAATGATCGCCCTAATAGATGACCATTTTTAGTTCTTTTAGCTATTTCTTCTGGAATTTACCTCAGTATTTTAAATTTATATCCTTTATCTCATCTATTGACTTCCTGCAATAGTAGATGAAGATAGAACTCTCTTACACCTTCCTCCTACTTTCCAAAAATGGTTCTTTCACAATATTTGATTAAAGTCAAAAAACTTACACAAAGTTAAAAGATAGGCATCTACAGATGGAAGGGGCATGCTATGTGCCCAGCACAGTTAATGATAACAAGACCCACCCACTTATGAACTACCAGGAGAGCAGATACAAAGAAAAGACTGTAAAAGCTTCAGGGGAAGCTAATTTGTTGTATTAGAAAATAATTCAAGAAAGATTAAAGTACTTGAAATCCTCACTTTATATCATCGATAGGTTCTTGGAAACTACAACTTTACGTGAAACGATGTATAGTGAAACCAATTTTTTTTTCTCATCAACTTTATAATGAGACAATTTTGAAGGAAATGATGTTATTCAAGGACCTCCTATAGTTGCTTCACAGAAGGTTGCAGTTTCAAGGAACCTGTCAGCGACCCTATGAGGACACAGTGTACTGAACACAGTGGTGTCTGAGCTGAGAGGGTTGGCAGAGTTCCTGGCTTTTAACATTTCTTACAGTGATAGCATCATATGAAAGCAAAACCATTTTCTTGAAAGAAAGGAAGGAAGTAAGGGAGAAAAGGTAGAGTCCCTAATTGTTTGGAAGACATACTGTTAGACTTCCTGTCTTAGTATGCATGCCAGTATTTCAAGAATAACCACTAAAATAATATAAATACAGTATGTAACTTCCGAAACAGTGGAGAAGAAAAGGAGAAGTAAAAATACTTACATCCCCAAAGAAGACAAGGAGAAAAACAAAACAGAAATCAGACAAGTAGAAATTTCAGCCTAATATGGTAGAAATAAATCTAAATATATCTATACTCGTTAAGTATAGCTTGACTAAACTTGTCAGTTAAAAAACAAGTTGTCAAATTGGATTTCAAAAACAACTCTGTTTACGGGGAACATGCCTAAAACAAGGATACAGAAAATACCAAAGTCAAAGGATAAGAAAAGATACACCAGAAAATAATCTGAAATAAAGCTGCAGTAGTTATGTTAATATAAGATAAAATAGGATCTTAAAGAAAAATATTAGGGATAAAGAGAGTCATTATAATTTTAAAAGGGCGCATTTCCTAGGAAGATACAAGAATCCTAAACTTCCATCTACGTGATAAAAAAGCCTTGATACGTACAGCAGAAATCGACAAAACCACACACAAGAAACAATGACAAATCCTCCTCGCTTAGTGATTGCTGGGTTAAGTAAATAAAGAGTAAAGCTTTTTTGGAAGATTGAGACAGCGCAGTGAAATGCAAGATTTAATAGACATGCGCAGAACTCTGTTCCCTGCGGCAGAACGCTGTTTTCCCAAGCTCACATCAAACACTTAGAAAACTTTATCAAAAATTAACCACGAAGCAGGCAAATCAGCAATTTCCCTTTTTTTTTTTTTTTGAGACAGAGACTTGCTCTTTTGCCCAGGCTGGAGTGCAGTGGCATGATCTTGGCTCACTGCAACTTCCGCTTCCCAGGTTCAAGTGATTCTCATGCCTCAGCCTCCTGAGTAGCTGAGATTATGGGTCTGTGCCACTACCTCCTGGCTAATTTTTGTATTTTTAGTAGAGATGGGGTTTCACCATGTTGGCCAGGCTTGTCTCAAACTCCTGACATCAGGTGATCCACCTGCCTCAGCCTCCCAAAGTGCTGGGATTACAGGCCTGAGCCATTGTGCTCGATCTTAAGTCAGCAAATTTCTGACTGATGCAATTAACTACATACATGATGCACTTAAGTTAGGAACCAAGAACAAACAACTGAAAACTAGAAATACATTTGAAGACTAAAACTCACCTCTGAATAATCCATGGCCCAAAGAAGAAATCAAAGGCAGAAAGTAAAATATGCTTAGAACCGAGTGATAATGTGTCTCTTGGATGCATTTCGAGGGGTCCTGAGTGGCCGGAGCTGGTTCTGGGTGAGTGGGTTTCTGGCTTGGAGGGAGATGTCTGCAGAGCTCTCAGACCTGTCTGTGGAGCGTGGTGGTGCTTTTGCCTAGAACTGGACGCCAGGCTCTCCCTGTGGTTTCTTGTCTAGCTGATGTTTTGGATTGTTTGGCTTAAGCTGAACTTAGACTGAGAGCCGCAGCCCTTGCGGCCGCGCTGGCAGGTTGGCCTATTGCCCTCAAACTCAGTTCTTCGAGCAGCCGGCATCTTCAGCAGCGCCGGATGAGCCTCACTGGGGTTGCCTGTTATCTCGGGCAGCACAAGAGGAGTTGCTGTTTATGTGATCCTGTTCCTGTGTGTGGCCCCGAATGACAGAGGGCCAGAGAGATTAGAAGTGTCAAGTTGTTAGGCTCTTGAGTGTCATGTGGCTCTCTGAGCGCAAACGCAAAGGGAAGTCTCCGTGGCTGTTTCTCATTTTCTATTACTATTGTCCTGACTCTGCTTGAGTGTTTGATGTCGTGGAAATGGACTGCTTTTTCCCACAAGTGTGCCTGTGGGTCTTGGGTGGGAATGGTGAACACTGTTGGTGAGGCAGCTGGTGTGCTCCGAGAGCCTTCTCCTGGGATGGAGCAGGCTTGGAGAGAGGAGACGTGTCGGGGGCTATGCTGGGCTGTGGCTGTTCCCTGGGCCCCACCCTGATCGGTGGCCACTGCTAGACCCTGTTCTGGCCTGTTTCTAAGGCCCCGGGACCCTTTACCTGTGGAGATGGTATCTCACAGCGGGCTGTGCTCACTGCTTCCAGAAGAAATTCCAAGAGGACAGCTTTGACCCTGGAGAGAAGGGTGGTGCTTTGGGACAGCCTCTGCCCCAGCCTGGTCCTGCTGTGGGTTGGGCCACCTAGAGGGGCCGCGTCCCTCCCGCCTGTCTCCTCTGTGTTTGGGTGAATGACAGTTGATGGAGCTGGAAGCAGTGCTTTCTTGTCTGTTTTCTGACAACCCTGCCCCAAACTCATCATCAGGAACTTTTTGCAGCCCTTTTCCATGTGGAGTGGGCCCTGTGGCCTTGTTTTCTGGGCAGGAGTAAGAATCACATGGGGTTGGGAAAGTCAGAGCTGCTCTTGTCTTGGGGACTCAGGTCTCAGGTTGTGGCCGTGGCGGCAGGACCACCCTGTGACACGGCTCCTTTTCTGTGACGTACTTGCAGGGCGGGCTTTGACGGCGAGAATCCTGGGGACGACGAGCAGGTGCACAAGGGGCTGTCGGAGCGGAGCCAGGCTGTCGGCGCGGTGCTCAGCCTGCTGCTGGTGGCACTCACCGGCTGTCTGCTGGCCCTCCTGCTCTACAAGAAGGAGAGGAGGTGAGTGGGTGCAGGGCGAGGTGGGCTGGGCGGATGCATGCCTCCCATAGCTCATCTTGACTCAGTTTTGTGGGGTTTTATTTACTTATTTACTTACTTGTGTTTGAGCCCTGCCACAGCAAAGGTCTCAAGTTCTTAGTTCAAAACTCTCTGGAAGCAGCCTCCAGCGTTGTGGTTTTTAAAGGCCTTCTTTTCCGTCTGACCATGCCTGAGGCCGTCGCACATCAACGTGCCTGTGTCTTCTAGGACCATGGTCCTTTGTGTCCAACGTTGGGTAGAACATTAAACGGCATCTTTCATGGGTGCCTTTTCCCACTGAGCAGCTGGCCCCTCTGCCCTCCCCACGTCATAAAAGCAAGAGTTTATTAGGCACCTGCTATGTACCAGCTATGATGCCATCCTTTTGGCCCACTTTGCTGGGTGAGAGGACTCGCCATGTGACTGTCAAGCAGATTTTCACATCAGGCATCAGTGTTAGTGGCTCTGGCCTGGGGGCAGGAGCTGGCCAGCGCAGGTGTTCCCTGCTGCCACTGTCATTTGCCAGCCGAGCCACAGGCCAGTGAGAGAGGTGGTGAGAAAGTACCAGCTGTGGAGGTTGCAGTCAGCCAAGATCGCACCACTGTACTCCAGCCTGGGCAACAGAGTGAGACACTGTCTAAAAAAAAAAAAAAGTACCAATTGTGGCCCTTCACACCCAAAATGCAGAATAGGACAGCAGAAGGTCTGGGCCGGGAAGGGCATGTGATGTCCGTCCCCGTGAGCCACCATCGGGCAGGCTTCGGGGTGGCGGACTGGCGTGGTCCTGTTAGAGTCATATGTGAAAAAGTCCTTGCCCAAATGTTAAGTTGCTCTAGAGGGCCCTCTGCTGTTCGATTCCAAAGCCCATGTTCTTTCCACTCAGTCACAACAAATACCTTAGGGTAGAACCTGTCACTGCAGCTGCTTATTTGTCATTCAGAATGTGGGAGAAATGCAGCCCCCACCAGCCCCCTGATGGTGCAGATGGGGGCGGGGCTGTGGGGGTGGTGCTCTTGCCCATGCCCTCTCTACCCTGGAGTAATGATTGTCTCCTTTTTATTGTATAGGGAAACAGTGATAAGTAAGCTGACCACTTGCTGCAGGAGAAGTTCCAACGTGTCCTACAAATACTCAAAGGTAATTTTCTGCGGCGAGTCTCTTGAGGGCCTGCCTCCCGGGCCCGCGCGTGCTGCGCTGTCCCTGCTCTTCTCACCAGGGATGCCGAGGAAAGCAGTCACAGGCAGACTGGAATCCAGAAGGGAAACAGCACCCGTTGCCTCAGCCGCTTATCCCAGCACATTTTTTTTTAAATTTTTTTCCCCTCAAGTTTCTCTCATGGTTACAACTGATTTCTTTGAAGTATTTAATATTTAGGTTGTTTCCACTGTTTTTGGCTGTTCTTTAAAAACATACACACACGGTAGTGAAGATAGTTGTGCATCTAGCATTTGGATGATGTCTTTCAGATAAATTTCCAGAAAAGAGGCATTATCTGGATCAAAGGACGTAATGTTGGTGGTCTCAATGGGTGATGATGAATTGCTTTCTAAAACTAGGCTTTTGACTCGAGTCCTTCCTTTGACTTTCCTCCGCTGCCATGCAGTGGGGACCTTTCAGTCGATGAGTAACCCGGAAGAGCCCCTTCTCCCCCAGCGCAGCTGGTGGGTCACTGGTCTCCTTTTCGGGTCCAGGCCATCCTGAACGCCTTCTGCTTGGCCCCACCCTTGGCTGTGAGACTCCTGCCAAATGGCCCCACTGTCACCCTCCCAAACCCTCCTGACTTGGTGCAGTCTTATTAGGAACATGAAGGTGTTGCCAGCCCCGGTCTTCCTTTCCGTGCGAACTGGAGACGCAGTGACCGGGAGGACAGTGGGCCAGTTCTTCTCCAGCTCGTGCCAGCAGAGGGCATCCCTGATAGGGTGGATGGTGGAGCAGAATGGGGTCTCTGAGGGGGCTCACGTGGTCTCTGCTATTGATCCCTGGCAGGTGAACAAGGAAGAAGAGACAGATGAGAACGAAACAGAGTGGCTGATGGAAGAGATCCAGCTGCCTTCTCCACGGCAGGGAAAGGAAGGGCAGGAGAACGGCCATATTACCACCAAGTCTGTGAGAGCCCTCAGCTCCCTGCATGGGGATGACCAGGACAGTGAGGATGAGGTTCTGACCATCCCAGAGGTGAAAGTTCACTCGGGCAGGGGAGCTGGGGCAGAGAGCTCCCACCCGGTGAGAAACCCACAGAGCAGCGCCCTTCAGGAGCGTGAGGACGATAGGGCAGGGCTGGTCAGGGGTGAGAAGGCGAGGAAAGGGAAGTCCAGGTCTGCACAGCAGAAGACAGTGAGCTCCACCAAGCTGGTGTCCTTCCATGACGACAGCGACGAGGACCTCTTACACATCTGACTCCGCAGTGCCTGCAGGGGAGCACGGAGCCGCGGGACAGCCAAGCACCTCCAACCAAATAAGACTTCCACTCAATGATGCTTCTATAATTTTGCCTTTAACAAAAACTTTCAAAAGGGAAGAGTTTTCGTGATGGGGGAGAGGGTGAAGGAGGTCAGGCCCCACTCCTTCCTCATTGTTTACAGTCATTGGAATAAGACGTGGCTCAGATCGGCCACAGGGCGGTACCCTGTGCCCAGGGTTTTACCCCAAGTCCTCATTTAAAAACGTAAGACCAGATGCATCTCAAAACAGAGGGCTGCATTCTAAGAAACCCTTGCTGCTTTAGGCCCGATAGGGTGTTTGACCCCAGTATATTTTAGCATTTTAATTCTCTCCCCCTATTTATTGACTTTGACAATTACTCAGGTTTGAGAAAAAGGAAAAAAAGAAAACAGCCACCGTTTCTTCCTGCCGGCAGGGGTGTAATGCACCGGTTTGTCCATCCTGAGACGGCGAGGCTGTTGGTGTGCGGGACGGTTTCCGGTGGGATTTTGAACTGGTCATTAGTGTGTCCCCTGAGTTGCAGCTCATACTGTCTCTTTTCTCTTTTGCTTTCTGTTTCTTAAGGGCACACACGTGCGCGCGCGCACACACACACATACGTGCACAGGGTCCCTGAGTGCCTAGGTTTTGGAGAGTGCGCCTGTTCTATGCCTTTAGTCAGGAATGGCTGCAGCTTTTTGCATGACATCTTCAAGCCTGGGCGCACAGAGCATGTTTGTCAGTATTTCTTTCACCGGCTGGTGAATTCAAACAACCTGCCCAAAGATTGATTTGTGTGTTGGTGTGTGTGTGTGTTTGAGTAGAGTTGAGGTGTCAGAGAAAATGAACTTTTCCAGATTTGGGGGATAGGTCTCATCTCTTCAGGTTCTCATGATACCACCTTTACTGTGCTTATTTTTTTAAGAAAAAAGTGTTGATCAACCATTCGACCTATAAGAAGCCTTAATTTGCACAGTGTGTGACTTACAGAAACTGCATGAAAAATCACGGGCCAGAGCCTCGGGCCTAGCGTTGCACTTGGCCTCATGCTGGAGGGAGGCCGGGTGGGCACCGCGTGGGGGAGGAGGGATGCGCTGCTCGCGTTCTTATTCTGGCGGCAGCGCCTTTTCTGCCATATTTAGTGAATGACTTTTCTCGCATTGTAGAATTGTATATAGACTCTGGTGTTCTATTGCTGAGAAGCAAAGCGCCCTGCAGCGTCCCTCAGCCTGTACCGGTTTGGCTGGCTTGTTTGATTTCAACATGAGTGTATTTTTTAAAATTGATTTTTCTCTTCATTTTTTCAATCAACTTTACTGTAATATAAAGTATTCAGCAATTTCAATAAAATATAAATTATTAATTGGGTGTTACAGTTTTTTCCTTGATAGTGAGACCTTCCCGAGCGAGTTGCCAGTCCGCCTGCTTGTCTTTTCTTTCTGTTAAGTGACTGAATTTGGGTTTTGACTCTGGTGTTCTTGTTGACCCTTTATGAGGAGCACTTTCATTTTTCTCTGGAGTCTCCTGGTCATAGGTGTTAACTTTGGGTCCAGTCTGCCTCCCCTCAGCTCTTTCTAGATCTGATTTCTTTACCTTCTCCAGGCCAACCTCGGGGTGTGGTCCTGTTCATCAAAACAATGAACATGGAGTTTAGAGTCCAGTGAGACAATAAAGCTTTTTTGTGTGCAACCTAATCTAACACGGGAATGTTTTCTCTTGAGTAAGCTCACTGAGTTTTCCATCTTAAATTACTCAGCAGTGACTGAGAGCTACCTGCATGTTAACCTGGAAGCAGGAAATGACTCCAGTGTTAAAAACAAACCTCTTAGACTCAACATCCTATCTATCCTCCATCTCTTTATTTTCCCCATAGAGTCCAAAAACCTCAACCATCTAATTTTTCAATTATCCAATTGGAGTTACCTTTTTAAAAAAGTTATTCTTAAGGACGTCACAATACCCTTCCTGAGGAAGACATGTCAGGGTCTGCTAAAAGTTTATGACCAAAGAAAGACGGTGGTCCTCAGGCATTCTACCCGGGGGGCTGTTCTCCAGGCCATTCCCACCTCCTGCTAAGACCATGGGGAGCCCTCTCTGTAAGGAGGGGCATATGCAGGGACCTGCCCGTCCCCTTGGTAAGCTGGATGGCAAAGAGGCGTGTCATCTGCACCGCTGGCTGCCTGCTAATGTCGCTGTCAGTGGGGAAGGAGAAGTGACATGTTTGAGTGCATTTGCTTTGACTCTTAAAAACCCAAGCCTCTGAAAAAAGAGTTAACTACTTGCTAGCTGTTGTTACAGGTGATATTTTTAGGAAAAAATACCATGTGACAGCAAATCAGAATTGGACTCCAGAGAAATGATTTTATTGATGGAGTACCACCTGGGTATTTAGCTTCCTTTTAACAAAATTTTCTGTGCCCCTTTCTTGAGACCGTCCATGAATGAGAGAGACATAGAATAAGAACTGGCGTGCTAAAGATGGGACAGGCAAACCCCACACCAAGGAAATCCATGGTGTAGTCGAAATCTGGTTCTTACGAACATTTTAAGAACATCTGAAGCCTGTACTTCACCAACCCTAAAATAATACATGACACGAGATGATTCCTCGGGAAGGAACATATAGACTGGAGACAACATACAGACATTAGAACTTACAGGACAACTCTTTCCCTGAATCATTTGAGACTAAGTTCCCTCCCATAACCAGGCATTCCTACAAACGAGGACCTACCTTCACACGACTGAGATGCCACCTGGTGATTAAAGAACACTTTGGGCTGGTCCGATCCATTGTACAAGTTAAAAGGACTGATGGGTACACAGATCTTACCCCTGTTGGCAATCAGGTCACAAGGGCCAGTGTGTGTGTCACCAGGAGGTCATATGGACGAGACTGGATTTTTGCAAATATCCTTTACCGACTCTGAAGAATCCCATGGCTCAGGGAGGTGCACTCATGCCCTGTCTTTTTTTTTTTTTTTTTTTTTTTTTTGAGATGGAGTCTCGCTCTGCCACCCAGGCTGGAGTGCAGTGGCCGGATCTCGGCTCACTGCAAGCTCCACCTCCCGGGTTCACGCCATTCTCCTGCCTCAGCCTCCCGAGTAGCTGGGACTACAGGCGCCCGCCACCTCGCCTGGCTAGTTTTTTGTATTTTTTTAGTAGAGACGGGGTTTCACCGTGTTAGCCAGGATGGTCTCGATCTCCTGACCTCGTGATCTGCCCGTCTCGGCCTCCCAAAGTGCTGGGATTACAGGCTTGAGTCACCGTGCCCGGTCGCCCTTTCTTATTTCTCTGGCTCCACTCGACAGAGTTTGTTGGCCTCTTGTGTCCTTGAGTCATACTTGCTGTCAGTTCTGGACATCGTTCTATGAGAATGGGGTCAACGGGCAGGTGGTGCAGGTGAGCTGTGTGTGCAAGGCGGCAAGATTGCTATGGTGAGTTGGGGACAGTGTGGCCCGGGGGTGTTGGATAGGTGAGGCAGAAGCAAGCCCAGAACTTGGAGCCTGCTGTGACTGTCACAGTAAGGATTTTGAACTTGTCCTGAAAGCAGTTGAGAGCTGTGGAAGGGCCAGATTGGGCTTTTGAGAAAGATAGTCTAGAAGAAAGTAAAGAGATGGAGACACTTCAGCATCCAGATGGGAGGTTGGGCATGGGAGCCGTGGCTGTGCTGAGCTGAGAAGCCTCAGACTGCCGGCAAGGCTCTCTCTCAGATGGGAGGAAGTCAGGTTTTTTTTCTTTTTCTTTCTTTCTCGCTTTGTCGCCAAGCTGGAGTGCAGTGGCGTGATCTCGGCTCACTGCAATCTCTGCCTCCCGGGTTCAAGGGATTCTCCTGCCTCAGCCTCCCTAGTAGCTGGGATTATAGGCGCGCACCACCATGCCCGACTAATGTTTTTATTTTTAGCAGAGATGGGTTTTCACCATGTTGGCCAGGATGGTCTCAATCTCCTGACTTCATGATCCACCTGCCTTGGCCTCCCAAAGTGCTGGGATTACAAGCGTGAGCCCCCGCGCCCGGCCAGGTCTTTTTCTTAAAGAAGGACAGACCGAAGGTAGACTGTGAATGGTCAGTTATTTGTATTTCTTGACCTTTTATGCTATTTTGTAGTTTGACCAGTTTGCAAATCGAATTGAATAAAAAGTAATTGATAATGTCGTTTTGATGCTCAGTGTTTGAGGGAAACACAATCTAGTGAATGGGGTTATTGGTTGTCACTTGTCACACCTGGGAAAGTAAAAATAAAATGAGGGGACTCACAGCCCAGGTGAGGTCACCTGGCGCCACTCAGCACCAACCTGGAGAAAGCAGCCTTGGGATGCTGGCCTCGGTGGCAACCAAGAAGTGATGGTGGGTTGCTCGAGGCAGGGTGGAGCACAGAGCCCTGGGAGGAAGCAGGAAGTCAGGTTCAAGAAAGGGACTGGTGACCTTGCCCTTGGCTTCAGGGTTTTATTTTTCTTCAAGACATTTTGAGACAATGTGTAGACATGTGAACTTACAGGACAAAGAACTCTTTTACCCTGAATCATTTGAGACTAAGTCCCATCACCAAGCATTCCTACAAATCAGGACCTTCACACGACTAAGATGCCACCATCAGAACCACAATGTGTGGGGATGGTACTGCCAGCTAAGCCTTAATGCTGTTTCAGTGTTGACAGCTGTCACAATGATGCCCTTTTCGGTAGAGAAGCCTGTGATGGTCACGTGTTGCATTTGATCATTGTGCCATTTGGTTTACTTCTGTCTGGAAAGTTTCTCCTTTCTGTAACCTCCATGACCTTGACACATGAGGTCACTCTTCTCACCCACCCCATCTCTGGGAGGGTGCCTGCTTTGCTCTGCCCCACCCAGTGGCTTTAGGGCTCAGCTGTCCAGGAACAATTAGGGAGAGGGCCCTTGGGTCTGACTGCGAAGTCATACTTGAACTAGAAAACCTTGGCATAGGCGTGGGTTGTCGTACAGCAACATTTTCCAAAGTGTGCCCCGTGGAACACTTGTTCTGTATGTTGTTAACAGATGTTTCGCAAAAAATGGAAAGGACCTGAGCTCTAAGTTTGGGAAATGCTGAGTTAAAGTGAAACAGCTTTGCTTGGTATGAGACCTCTCAGAGTCTTTAAAGGAGAATTGCTGAACGAAATCACGATAGAAAATGGCCAGCAGGCCTCCAGCTATGCAGCAAGTCGTGGACATTTGCCCGTGTTGCCTGGGGGAGCTGGTGGCTTGTGGACCATCCACTGGGAAATTCCCTTCTGTGGCGAGGTTCTGTTGTTTTCCAGAGGCTCCCACGGAGCACGCTGGTTGGGTGGACTGTATGAGACCACACTGTTGGTGAGCAATGAGGCCCAAACAGGTATATGAAAAAAATGCTCAGCACCACTGATCATCAGGGAAATGCACATCATAAACACAGTGAGACATTGCCTCACACCTGCCAGAATGGCTGCTGTCAGAAAGACAAAAGACAGCAAGTGTGGGTGAGGATGTGGAGAAAAGCAAACACTTGTCCACCTTTGGTGGGAATGTAAATTGGTACAGCCATTATGGAAAGCAGGAAGTTCCTCAAAAACTTAAAAACAGCTACCAGCAGTCCCACATCTGGATGTATGTCCAAAAGAAATGAAGTCAGTACCTTGAAGAGATCTCTAAGAGATTTCTGCAGCCCCTGTTCATTGCAGCATTATTCACAATAGTCAAGATAGGGAAACAACAGCAGGGTCTACTGACAAATGAAGAAAGATGGATCAAGAAAATGTGTGTATGTATACACACACACAATGGAATACTAAGTCTTGAAGGAAATCCTGTCATTTGTGACAACATGGATGAGCTGGGAGAACATGCTAAGTGAAATAAGCCAGACACAGAAATAGAAATTCCACATGACCTCACTTAAATGTGGAATCTAAAAAGGTTGGACTCAGAAGCAGAGAGTGGAATATGGTGGTGACCAAAGGCCAGAGGGTGCGGGACGTGAGCAGATGTTGGTGAAAGGGTACAGAGGTTCCGCTGTGCAGCGTGAATGAGTTCTGGAGATCCACTGTGCAGCATGATAACTACGATACTGCTTTGTGTATTTAAACTTTTCAGAAAGAGTAGATCTTGTGTTCTTTCCCCTCTCCAAATAAAAGGAAATTATTTAAGGTGATGGGTATGTTTAGCTTGATTGGGGCAGTGATTTTGTAATGCTATGTATCTCAAAACATCATGTCATACACCGTAAGTATACAGTCGACCCTTGAACAATACAGGTTTGAACTCTGTGGGTCCACTTACATGTGGATTTTTTTTTTCCAGTAAAAGTTACACTTGGTGTGTCTGCCCCTCCTTCTACCTCTTCCACCTCTGGCACCCTTGACATAGCA